TGGACTTTGAGAAACTATAACTTGTTGGATGGCGGATGAATAGGCCAACAAGCTGACAAATCGGCAAGGCTTGAGACTTGAAACTTTTGGAGTGAGTCCCAGACATAGGTACATGATGCCCCAGTTTCATTTTTGTGCAGTAAGTCCAATAGCAAGGACTGTCAGCGCCAGCCGACATGGCTCTCATGTGTCGCGGTCTAAAGGTACCTTAACATGAATGGATTTTGAAAAACTATAACTTGTTGGATGGCGGATGAATAGGCCAACAAGCTGACAAATCAGCAAGGCTTCAGACTTGAAACTTTTGGAGTGAGCCCCAGACATAGGTACATGATGCCCCCAGTTTCGTTTTTGTGCAGTAAGTCCCATAGCAAGGGCTGTCAGCGCCAGCCGACATGGCTCTCATGTGTCGCGGTCTAAAGGTACCTTAACATGGATGGATTTTGACAAATTATAACTTGTTGGATGGCGGATGAATAGGCCAAAGAGCTGACAAATCGGCAAGGCTTCAGACTTGAAACTTTTGGAGTGAGCCCCAGACATAGGCACATGATGCCCCCAGTTTCGTTTTTGTGCAGTAAGTCCCATAGCAAGGGCTGTCAGCGCCAGCCGACATGGCTCTCATGTGTCGCGGTCTAAAGGTACCTTAACATGGATGGATTTTGACAAACTAAAACTTGTTGGATGGCGGATGAATAGGCCAACAAGTTGACGAATCGGCAAGGCTTGAGACTTGAAACTTTTGGAGTGAGCCCGAGACATAGGTACATGATGCCCCCAGTTTCGTTTTTGTGCAGTAAGTCCCATAGCAAGGGCTGTCAGCGCCAGCCGACATGGCTCTCATGTGTCGCGGTCTAAAGGTACCTTAACATGGATGGATTTTGACAAACTATAACTTGTTGGATGGCGGATGAATAGGCCAACAAGCTGACAAATCGGCAAGGCTTCACACTTGAAACTTTTGGAGTGAGTCCCAGACATAGGCACATGATGCCCCACTTTCGTTTTTGTGCAGTAAGTCCCATAGCAAGGGCTGTCAGCGCCAGTCGACATGGCTCTCATGTGTCGCAGTCTAAAGGTACCTTAACATAGATGGATTTTGACAAACTATAACTTGTTGGATGGCGGATGAATAGGCCAACATGCTGACTAATCGGCAAGGCTTGAGACTTGAAACGTTTGGAGTGAGCCCCAGACATAGGTACATGATGCCCCCAGTTTCGTTTTTTGCAGTAAGTCCCATAGCAAGGGCTGTCAGCGCCAGCCGACATGGCTCTCATGTGTCGCGGTCTAAAGGTACCTTAACATGAATGGATTTTGACAAACTATAACTTGTTGGATGGCGGATGAATTGGCCAACAGGATGACAAATCGGCAAGGCTTCAGACTTGAAACTTTCTGAGTGAGCCCCAGACATAGGTACATGATGCCCCCAGTTTCGTTTTTGTGCAGTAAGTCCCATAGCAAGGGCTGTCAGCGCCAGCCGACATGGCTCTCATGTGTCGCGGTCTAAAGGTACCTTAACATTTATGGATTTTGACAAACTATAACTTGTTGGATGGCGGATGAATAGGCCAACATGCTGACAAATCGGCAAGGCTTGAGACTTGAAACGTTTGGAGTGAGCCCCAGACATAGGTACATGATGCCCCCAGTTTCGTTTTTTTGCAGTAAGTCCCATAGCAAGGGCTGTCAGCGCCAGCCGACATGGCTCTAATGTGTCGCGGTCTAAAGGTACCTTAACATGGATGGATTTTGACAAACTATAACTTGTTGGATGGCGGATGAATAGGCCAACAAGCTGACAAATCGGCAAGGCTTCAGACTTGAAACTTTCTGAGTGAGCCCCAGACATATGTACATGATGCCCCCAGTTTCGTTTTTTTGCAGTAAGTCCCATAGCAAGGGCAGTCAGCGCCAGCCGACATGGCTCTCATGTGTCGCGGTCTAAAGGTACCTTAACATGGATGGATTTTGACAAACTAAAACTTGTTGGATGGCGGATGAATAGGCCAACAAGTTGACAAATCGGCAAGGCTTCAGACTTGAAACTTTTGGAGTGAGCCCCAGACATAGGTACATGATGCCCCCAGTTTCGTTTTTGTGCAGTAAGTCCCATAGCAAGGGCTGTCAGCGCCAGCCGACATGGCTCTCATGTGTCGCGGTCTAAAGGTACCTTAACATGGATGGATTTTGACAAACTATAACTTGTTGGATGGCGGATGAATAGGCCAACAAGCTGACAAATCGGCAAGGCTTGAGACTTGAAACTTTTGGAGTGAGTCCCAGACATAGGCACATGATGCCACACTTTCGTTTTTGTGCAGTAAGTCCCATAGCAAGGGCTGTCAGCGCCAGTGGACATGGCTCTCATGTGTCGCAGTCTAAAGGTACCTTAACATGGATGGATTTTGACAAACTATAACTTGTTGGATGGCGGATGAATTGGCCAACAGGATGACAAATCGGCAAGGCTTCAGACTTGAAACGTTTGGAGTGAGCCCCAGACATAGGTACATGATGCCCCCAGTTTCGTTTTTGTGCAGTAAGTCCCATAGCAAGGACTGTCAGCGCCAGCCGACATGGCTCTCATGTGTCGCGGTCTAAAGGTACCTTAACATGGATGGATTTTGACAAACTATAACTTGTTGGATGGCGGATGAATAGGCCAACATGCTGACAAATCGGCAAGGCTTGAGACTTGAAACGTTTGGAGTGAGCCCCAGACATAGGTACATGATGCCCCCAGTTTCGTTTTTTTGCAGTAAGTCCCATAGCAAGGGCTGTCAGCGCCACCGACATGGCTCTAATGTGTCGCGGTCTAAAGGTACCTTAACATGGATGGATTTTGACAAACTATAACTTGTTGGATGGCGAATGAATAGGCCAACAAGCTGACAAATCGGCAAGGCTTCAGACTTGAAACTTTCTGAGTGAGCCCCAGACATAGGTACATGATGCCCCCAGTTTCGTTTTTGTGCAATAAGTCCCATAGCAAGAGCTGTCAGCGCCAGCTGACATGGCTCTCATGTGTCGCGGTCTAAAGGTACCTTAACATGGATGGACTTTGACAAACTATAACTTGTTGGATGGCGGATGAATAGGCCAACAAGCTGACAAATCGGCAAGGCTTGAGACTTGAAACTTTTGGAGTGAGCCCCAGACATAGGTACATGATGCCCCCAGTTTCGTTTTTGTGCAGTAAGTCCCATAGCAAGAGCTGTCAGCGCCAGCCGACATGGCTCTCATGTGTCGCGGTCTAAATGTACCTTAACATGGATGGATTTTGACAAACTATAAATTGTTGGATGGCGGATGAATAGGCCAACAAGCTGACAAATCGGCAAGGCTTCAGACTTGAAACTTTTGGAGTGAGTTCCAGACGTAGATACATGATTCCCCCAGTTTCGTCTTTGTGCAGTAAGTCCCATAGCAAGGGCTGTCAGCGCCAGCCGACATGGCTCTCATGTGTCACAGTCTAAAGGTACCTTAACATGGGTGGAATTTGACAAACTATAACTTGTTGGATAGCAGATGAATAGGCCAACAAGCTGACAAATCGGCAAGGCTTCACACTTGAAACTTTTGGAGTGAGCTCCAGACGTAAGTACATGATGCCCCCAGTTTCGTTTTTGTGCAGTAAGTCCCATAGCAAGGGCTGTCAGCTAGCGGCAGCCGACATGGCTCTCATGTTTCGCGGTCTAAAGGTACCTTAACATGGATGGATTTTGACAAACTATAGCTTGTTGGATAGCGGATGAAAAGGCCAACAGGCTGACAAATCGGCAAGGCTGCACACTTGAAACTTTTGGAGTGAGCCCCAGACGTAAGTACATGATACCCCCAGTTTCGTTTTTGTGCAGTAAGTCCCATAGCAAGGGCTGTCAGCGCCAGCCGACATGGCTCTCATGTGTCGCGGTCTAAAGGTACCTTAACATGGATGGATTTTGACAAACTATAGCTTGTTGGATAGCAGATGAATAGGCCAACACACTGACAAATCGGCAAGGCTTCATGTATTAAGATAAATAGTTTTTCCCATGGGCGTCTCCAGGGTTTTTTCTAGAGGGGGGCAAAACAATTTTTTGCCAAAAATGCTTGTTTTTCTCAACACATTCTCGATTTATCAGTTTTAGAGGGGCAGGGACATTTTGGCCCCCCCCCCTCATTAAATTTACACCACTTTGTCTTCGCGCCTCTTTTTCTTTTTCTTTTTGTTCTTTTTTATCTTCCTTTTTTTTTTTTTTTTTTTTTTTGGCTTTTTCCAGGGTGGGGCAAGTGCCCCCCCCCTTGCCCCCTCCCCCCCTCGCGACGCCCATGGTTATTCCGTTTTATCAGTTTCATTACTTTCATAACAGCGTAACGATCAATGATTTTTGTTTTACAGTTTTACACAAATAACTTTGAAAAACAGCAAAACGGTGAGTATTCAATACAGACTGTTTTTTTTTCTTTTACTTCAGTGTCATAGTCAACAGTCCGTAATGCATTTTGTGGCGGTACTTTTGGTGGGCAAGGCCGGCTGGGGGTGGAAGGGGACCATGCCGTGCACGAAGAAGTGTTACCTCGTCATAATTCGTGCGTGGTCGCCGGGATTGATGCACTCATGCAGATTTATTCCGCGGCCAGTGCCAAACACAGGTCGACTTATTCGTTATAACTCCATAGAAATACATGAAAAAGATTCAGGAACAATAAACCAGGCCACTGAAGAAGGACCGGGTCCGAACGCTTGAGAATTATTTTGGTAAGCACTACTTTGCCGGAACTTGATTTTCTATACCTCCACATAACTTGCATGAAATATTGATAATAATTTATGCACTTAATTCAGACGTAACTAATAATACAAATTAAAGCACGATAAATTTGGCAAAAAGGACACATAAAACATTCCAAAATTGAAATCAGCCTGTACATAATAAAGAAAAACACACAACAAACTTTTTGAAACGAAACACTCCAGGCTAAATTATCAACGCTAAGCCAGTGAATGACTTGATCAAGTCTAAACCAGCCTCGCACGGCGCCCTCGTGTGGTACGAAACCCATTTTCCTTCGGATCTTTCTGCTGATGCAGCGTTCGACCTGTCATCATGCCTGTGGCGTTTGAGAAATAACATCGACCAAACCAAACACAACAACGAATGAACTTGTTGAAACACGCCTTCTGGGTTGCGCGTGTTTTCTGCCGGCGCAGCGCTATAAAACCATCGGTAAACTCACCATTTTCGAGCACATGCAACTGGCATAATCGCACACTAGCCATGCCTAAGAGAAAAGCCTCATCCAGAGTCGCCGACGCGGCCGTGGCAAAGAAAGCTAAAGCCGCTGAGGAGGACCCGGAGTTGAAATACGATGCGGAGTGGAGCGACTACGGGCCCCGGGGAGGGCCCAAGAATCTCCCGCCGGTCTTCGTGCTGAGCGGCCCGTCCATCAAGGGGTCGAAAAAGATAGCTGGGTTCGACATCGATATGACTCTCATTGTGCCCGCCAGTGGACGGACCTTTCCAACAGGTTAGTAACTAATACTTTTCACAATAAAAATGAAATGAAAGTCATTGCTAAATTGAAACTCATTAACAACTGGTGTTTAACATGGTTAACTAAGATAAGATTGTTGCAACCCAACGTAGCCCAGATTGGACGACTTCTTTATTGCATCACGACTGACGTCCAGGGTAAAAATTGTACCACCAAACTCCATAGCAAAAACGTTTAGGCCTATAACAGAATGTCCAGAATTGTGCATGCGCTGGGTTTAGAAAAGGCAAATATGTCTGTGGGCGGCGTGTTGTATACCGAAAATATTAATCAGCAAGTTCTATGCTTTTGTTAAAAACATTTTCAGTACGAACTCCCCACGTGAAGACGTACATGCGCATGCCGTTTGCTGTCGCTTGTTGCTAGGTGTGCATGCACCCGCGTGCATAATCTTCACACATTGAGTTTGTATGGAAAATGTTTTCAAAGGAAAAATGATATTGCCGTTTTTCGGTAAACACTCCGCCGCGCCAGCAGACATATTTGCCTTTTCTAAACCTAGTGCAGGCACAATTCTGTACACGAGGAATATGTACATGTAACCAAAATTTCAGCTTCCTCCGTCATGTAAAAATATGCGAAAAATGTGTTATATAATTTTTTTCGCTATGGCAGGAGAGTTTTATAACCTGGACTCCATTGCGTGTACACAACGGAGTCCAACCTGGGCTACAACCTGACGCTACTTAAGCGGTTGTGTCAAGACACAGAGTCAAGACAATTTTCTAAGTATTTCATAACAAATTTGGAAATGTTTCTTAGTCCAAGAAACATGTCTTTTTTAAATACTAGTCATTTTTGCAAAGACTGGCCTTCATTGAGGCGCCCTACATGTATGAGAAAAAAAAAAAGCAGCGTCAGGTTGCAACATTCTTTCCTTAATTACATTGTATTTCAATAAGTTGAGTCTCCACCCACATAGAAAATCTCTGGCAAAATCCTATGTATTTCCCATTCAAAATACATTTTAAGCTATTTTCTCCTAGAAAATAGGAACAAAATATATTTTATTTCTATTACATCAAAATAAGTAGGGGCCTACATATGTTGCCACTCTATTTTATTTCTATTTTTAAAACTGCACGCTATTTTATGACTATTTTTGGAGACTTAGACATTTTTGTGTGGTCCACAGTCTATAAGTTGTCTATTTTCTGGACACTTACACATGTTTATAAGAACCGCATGGACTATTTATTTGCTATTTTGTGGACATGCTCAGTACAACACAATCTGAAGGCCAAGCACTTAATTTGCATACCAGATAAACATCCTGTGTGTGTGTGGCAAGTTTGAATTTTGTCAGTTGCATTCTGAGAGCCCTTTGTGAAGCACAGCAGCAATAAAGATGTGTGCAATGAATACAGGTCAACTCGTACGCGAACCAACTCGTACGCGACCAACTCGTACGCGGGTCAATTCGTACGCGAACCGACTCGTACGCGGACCGACTCGTACGCGGACCGACTCGTACGCGGACCAACTCGTACGCGGACCAACTCGTACGCGTGAGTTTAGACGATTGGTTTAGCTCACATGGACAGATGAAATTAGGTTCGGTACGGTAGGTCGGCATAATTTTACCTTTTCTGAAAGGTTGAGATTTTCAAATTAAGTGTAGTTAATTTTTGAATCCGCCAGTGCTACCTGTACTTACATTTGCGATTTTTTAGAGAAGAATTCGGCGTTTGTTTGTTTGTTTACAAGTTCGCTTGATTGATTGGGAAGTTGTCTTCGCGATAACCAGTATGATTGGTTCCCGCCGCACCGCGCATTGTATAAAGAATGCAAGATTGAATCGCTTAAACCTGTGTATGCCGCGGTACAATTTCTGGTTGGTTAGACAAGTAAAATGACAAGAAAACACCGATATTTGCGAGGTCTATTGTATAAAAAGGAGCTACTATAAAAAAAGGAATATAGCATCACGCATGCTTATACAGTTGTACGGACAGTGTCCGCCAGTTTTTTGCTTGGGTCAGATAGGTTTTTTAGTCCTATATATCCAAATAATATTTTGTAAAAAAAGAAAAAATGGGGAGTTGATTTTTATTTTTTATATATTTTTTTTATATAATTTCACCGGAAATGCGAGGTTTCTTGGGTCAGAAAATTAATTTTTTGCTTTGGTCCGATTATTTTTTAGTCCTAATTATTAGGTATCCAAATTATATTTTATAAATTAAAGCAATGGGGAGGTGAATTTCATTGATTTTTAAAAATTAGAATTGTATTTAATTGAAAATAATTTTTTTTCTTGGGTCCGAAAATTAATTTTTAGCTTTGGTCCGATAATTTTTAGTCCTTATTATTATGTCTCCAAATTATATTTGTAAAATAAAACAATGGGTAGGTGAATTTGATTTATTTTTAAAAATTTGAATTTTATTTAATATCACTGCAAATGCGTGGTGGCCCTGAAAAGGACCGATTGGGCTTTCAGTTAGACAGTGCAATTGTCTATTCTCTTTTTGAAAATGTGTGGCCCTGAAAAGGGCCGTTTGTTTTTGATTTTGGCCCTGAAAAGGGCCGTTTGTTTTTTTTGTTGGTGTTGGTTGTGCTTTCCTCGTTTACAGGGCTGGTCCATGCAGATGGCTGCATGCTGCTAGGAGAGCCGACGTCTTGATTGTCCCTTGCGCGTAGTCGCCCCACAGCTTGAAGATGCGGCCCTCCAGTTGTCTTGTCTTCCGGCGCTGGTTCCTGCACATTTTCAACTCACGAACCAGAATCATCTGCAGAGTGATGAGCTTGGCCTCGGTGTGGAGCAGCGGGATGAGCTTGTAGAGCTGTAAACCAGCTCTACCAGCTTTACAGTTGAGTCTGCGATGCCAGCCCTCGACATCGTTGTTGGTCCGGATGCTGTGCTGGAAGATGGACCAGTTGGCAGGAGGCCACACGTTGCTGTCTAGCCAGGTCTTCTGCACGTAGTCGAATAGCTGCGTAAGGAGAGGCTCGGTGATCTTGGTCTTCAGCTTGGCAAAGGTCGCTGCGATGTGTTCTTGGGGAAGAAACGGCAGGGACATCAGCTTCCGGATGCAGGCTTGGACTTCTGGATCGGTGGTGTATGGGACAGCTAAGCCAAGACTCTGGCACTGCCTCCAGACAGCCTGCGTCCAGTGGTACAGGCAGCCTTGAATGTGCCGGTCTGGGAACACAGCACGCAGGGCGGCCCACAGTCCAGACTCAAAGTCTGCGACAAACTGCTGGACGTTGCTGCCACGTGAAGGCAGCTCACGCTTGACCGCCCGAAGCACCTTCCGGTAGTCTTTCTTGGTACGGCGAGACATTAAGCAGAAGGCAAGGGGAATCTGCTTCTGCTCGCCGTGCTCGGACTTGATGAAAGCGTGGATGCTGAACATCTGCACGAACGGCCGGTTGACTATCTTGAAAGTTCCATCAAGGTACCAGGTCTTGGCTTGGTCGAGGACTGACGACTGGGTTGGTGTCATGAAGACTAGATGCCTCTCATCGCCGACAGTGATGTCCTTGATCAGGAAGTCCGCTTGGACGAAGTCCATGGCCAACTGGAACTGGAGGTCGGTGGGGTCTTGAGGGCGCTGACCTTGACGGGCTCGGTTTGCTGTACGGACTAAGAGGGATGGCTTAGGGAAGCTGGCGGTTGGAGCGTCAGGGGCAATGCCAGCCATTGCCTCCTCGACGATCACACCAGCAGAGCGGAAGACATCTCTCTTCGATGTGGCCTTAATGGCCGTTGTTACTTCAACGGCCACATGGGCACCGGGGTTTGCTGAATGCGAGTGTTCGGTGTGGGAACCAGCCGTGAAGGTGTCCCCGTTCTGTATAACGGAGACCGGGCAGCGATGGTTCCGACTTCGCAGGCTGCACACCCAGGTGCGCTGTGACGAAGCGGGATTTCGCTGCCATCTCTTGGTGTACTTGTAGCCCCGGTTGTCCACGAGGATGGTTTTCCCTCGCTGGGTCCCACCTTCCAAGACCTTGTACGTGGTGACTTGATCTTGACTGGCGTCTGGAAGTACATCAGGAACGGGTGCGTCGACGATGCTGTTCTCCTCAGGTGGCTGTGGGATTTCAAAACTACAGGAGACATTGAAGGACACAGCCGACTCCTTGTTGCTAGGAAGGACTTGTGGCTCGTCCACATCCATCAGGTCATCAACAACTCCAGATGGAGAAAGCGCCTGAGCTGAAGCTCTGGTACTTTCTCCAACTGGAATTGGTGAATCACTGTCATGAATGGAACAGAGTTCACAATACCACAATCCTAGCTCAGATGAGTCGTCCATGAACCGTTCATAGTCTTCCGAGGAAAACCCGGTGTTACAGGACTGATGTTGCCATCTGTTGCAACGGTCGCAGAGAAGTGCCTTCTGGTTTCTACGGACAGGCAGAGAGCACACAACACAAGGGTACTGCATCTTGATCTTGAATCTTGATCTTGAATCTTGAAAACAGGAACGTCTTGAGAACTGGAACCCGGAACGTCTTGATAGCTTGGGGTAGTTGATACAACTGATTGACTACGTTCCCAGTACAGGTTTATATAGTGAAATTTAAGATCCAGAATGAGCTCACAACATAATACCCCTAATTGATAAAAGATACCAACAAAACCGCTACTATACTAGCGGCAAACATGAAAGCTTTAACACACCCATGTTACCACGTTTACGAAACAATACCCCTAATAGATTAAAGATGCCCGGTGCTCGAGCGCAACATAACACGTACGCGGCGTCACAATCACACTTCAGTGATTCTAGCTGTTGGCTTTCTGAGGCAGCGGGAAAGCGCACTAGGCATAGGGTGGAGTGGACTCGGGGAAAGCACTGAAGTTAGATAACAGTTTGACATTTTTGAAATCAAGGGAAAAATAATGATAGACACAATGTTTTTTTCATTTTATCCCGGACCATCGCATCAAATTAATACTGGCCATCATATATTTTGTTATGCTGCAAACAGATTTAAAATGGCTCAAAGGATAGAATTAAAAAGGAGAGGAAATGAAAATGGAGAGGGCAGGGAAGGCTGGGGAAGAACAATAATACAAAAAAAGGAGACAACAATTACATTGGGGCGGAATGTGCAGGGTTCGACCTCAACTTCTTTTGTTCACTAGCCAGCCGGGCTACTGGCCCACGGGCATTTCTACTAGCCCGCATTTTGTTCTTATCTGAGATACAAAATGGCGTATTTTCAAGTGCAATTCTGAGGGAATTTTGTTGGTGTTTTTGATTAACAGATCAGATAATTTAATCCTTTAAAACAGTTGATAATTAGACACAAATTAAAGGGGTTTCCTTTTTGAATTTTATGATTTTTTTCTTTCTGTTCGTTGATCTTTGCCGTATCCCAATAATTTTTCACTCGCACGCCGGCCTGGTTAAGGAATAGTTTGTCTAGCCCCGGCCGCCGCTGTTTTGACAAGCATTTGGTTAGCGGGCTATACCGCTAATTTCGAACCCTGATGTGTTATGTGTTATACCTCCATGGTTATACCAAGCATTTCAGTTGTAAATAGAAATTGCGGATGTCCCCGCGTGTCTCCTTTTTAATTGATCAATGGTTGTGAACCACAATGAAAGTTGAGTGACAGGCAGTTGACAAGTCTGATCGATCTCTTTTGATCTTCTAAACCCGCCGGTTCTTTTAGGACACCGAACCGCGAGAACAGATCCATGGTAGTCCAGAGCGTTGCAATTGGGTCAGTTTGACAATGGTGACAATTAAGTGACTGGTACATTGATTAAAAAAACACGAAAAATGCAACTGGTATATCGTTGCATTAATATATGGAATTAAATTTGACGTGACAAGGCTACAGGTATGCACAAAACGATACAACACTCGTCTAACTACAAAAATCAGTTACTTTATTATCATCATTCACTGGTTCACTCCCAATCACACACAACGGTCACACATTGAACTACGGACTACCCGTCACACTATTCACAGGTATGCACAAAACGATACAACACATGTCTAACTACAAAAATCAGTTACTTTATTATCATCATTCACGGGTTCACTCCCAATCACACACAACGGTCACACATTGAACTACGGACTACCCATCACACTATTCCCAAATTCTTCCCAACCATGCCAACCCAATCCTCGAAACCACTCCTAAAACGGCCCGCGTACGAGTTGGTTCGCGTACGAGTTGGCTCGCGTACGAGTTGGCACGCATACAAGTTGGTTCGCGTACGAGTTGACTCGCGTATGAGTTGACCAATCCGCGTACGAGTTGACTCGCGTACGAGTTGGTTCGCGTACGAGTTGACCTGTTTCCTGTGCAATGGGGCAAGTACATGTATATCTGGGGTTAAAATGCTTCCAAATCACTGTAATGGAGTGACAAGTGCACCACATGGTTAGTAGATTTTCCAGGACAATTATGAGTAACATTCCTGTACCTTTTCAAGCTGTATTTTGCTGAAAAAGCACGTACGCCCGTAGCATGTTGAACCAAACTGTTTTAATAACTCGATGGTGCATGATGTGTGTAATTGTTAATTGTTTGGACACTGTGTTGTCACAGCATTACTACTGTTCATGGTACTAGACTTATTCGCAATTATTCCATTCTTATGCAGTCATATTGCTTGCTCACTTCATGTATGTTTGGGGACTAATGCTGAAGATGCTTATTGTCCACATGCAATGACATGGACATGTGTACAATTAACATGTAGTGTCCACGTATTATAGAACAGTTGTTTGGACAGACGCCATTTTGTATTTTTTAAAAATAGTATTTTTTTTAAATAGCATGCTATTTTACCTCTATTTTACCTCTATTTTTTAAGAAGATATTTTTTCACTATTCTATTTTTTTTGGCTATTTTGGGGGGTGGCGAAATACAATGAAAAAAAAATAGATTTAAAAAAATGTATTTTCAATAGGAAATAAATAATTTTTTTCTCTACTTTATTTCGACCTGGGCACTGCTAAAAAGATTTTCTGACATTCATTATTTAAGAAATTCTTGTTTAATTTAAACTATTTAAATAATTTTAACTATTTTATGTATCACTCACTGGAAAATAGGTTTAGCATTTGCTTAGGGAGAGTGAGACAGTGCTTTCTTCAAATGAGATTTTTGGAATGAATGAATTTAAGTGGAATATCGAAAAATCATACTTAACAAAGACCTATATAAATATGTGATCTCAAGAATGCTCAACTGGCGTTGTACAAACTGAAGTTCTGTTGTCATGTAGGCCTATAGCTTTTATTACTGGTCTCTTTTATCAATATCATGTTTATTGTCAATTAGTTGAGCACAGGTGTAGCAAAGGTCACAGTCAGTATGTGTCTTTGTGTTACTTAACAATGTTGATTTGTATTGAACATTCCAGTCATCAGCTTCCCAGGGTTGAAGAATATATATATTTTTTTGGACATAAACAATAACAGGACCAAGTGACTGGAAATTCATGAACGACAAAGTCAAGCCCAAGTTGCAATCGGAACACGAAGCAGGCTACAAGATTGTGTTTTTCACCAACCAGCGCGGCATGGAGAAGGATCACACCTCGCCAGATGGTTGGAAAGGGAAAGTCAAAAAGATCATCAATGAGCTGAATATTCCAGTTCAGGTATGACAACTAAATGTGAGCCAAAACAAGTTGAGTTTTGCTTTTTTGAATCTCAAAGCATAGGCCTACAATTGTAAAAGAAAAAAAAAACCTACTGTAAAAAAACTACCTCTCTCAATATACAGGCTGGTCACCAACCATGTACCAGAAACCAAGGCTGTGGATTATTACATTACACCGTATAACTTGCAAAGCCTGTTGAAGTGGTTTGGTACATGTGGGTGCAGACCAGTAAATCGGTCCGAAATTGCCTACGCCGGCCAAATCACGATTTGCATGCCCTCAAAATCTTCAGTATTTGAGCATGCTGGGGGCCATGAACTTGAGGGTTTGTAAAAAATATGGGTGGAAGCCGTGCACAGGACTGGAAGCTTGCAGTTCTGTGTAATTTGGATGTAATTTGGACCCTAAAAGCGCTCTATTTTGCAATGGAGTGTAGGCATCGTTTTTCAAAATGGCGATGGGCTTCAGGACTATTTTCAGGGGTGATCATCTTCAGATGGAAATTTCTCCTAAAAGTCATCAGTTGACCCCCCGAAAATTGAAAAGAAAATGAAAGATGATGAAATAAGCTTTAATTTGATGTGTGTCTCGAACACCTTGGAGAGTTGTGAGTATTTTTCCCGAATTTTTGAAGTGGGAGCATTTACCATTGGGGTCTATGGAAGTTTATTTACTGGTCTGCTACCTACATGTATGTAGGGTGACCATGACTACTGGTTCAGCTTGCCTATAGCAGCCATTTTAAAGGGTGATGCCTTTGTTTGGCTGGAATGCATGAGTGAACCTTTTGTGCACTCATTGTTATTGAGCTAAATCCATCATTGACAGGCACATCATTAGTATCAATGTCAGTCAAGGCTTGGTACCCTCAGTAAATGTACCCTTAATGCAGGGTTGAAATTCTTCAAGTGTAAAACGATGCATGTTTTCAACCCTGCGTCAACCCTGAGATTTGTCTAGTGTGAAAAGGGCTATTGACATCTATCGATGTCAGTCAAGGCATGGTACCGGTACCCTCAGTTAACATGTACTTACCACAGCCTGTCAATTGACGCAATTAAAAGGCCAAATTACAGACCTGTTAAAATCTGTCACCTGATATATTTTGTAGGCCTTTAGGGTAAATCTCTGCAGATTGTCACCGAGAGAGAAAGGGTTAGCTAAATTATTCGAAAATTGTACAGCCCTAGTGGGCATCACGCGTAAACATGTACATGTACGAACATTTCAGTTTGTTGGATTTTTGATTTGACATCAGTGCCGTGATTGGTCAAAGCATCACAGAGTCGGGCTTAACGGATCAGTCTATCAAACCTCTGAACTCAACTTGTCTGCACACAGGTCTTTGTTGCTACGGGCGAAAACGACATGCGTAAACCGGGCACCAAAATGTGGGACCTGATGGTGAAAGACCACAATAAAGGCATCAAGCCCGACATGTCGGAGTCCTACTACGTTGGCGACGCGGCCGGCCGAGCCAAGGATTGGGCTCCGGGCAAAAAGAAGGACTTCTCATGTGGAGACCGGATGTTTGCGGCAAATGTGGGCATCAAGTTTATGACACCTGAGGAGTATTTTTATGATGAGAAGCCCGCCCCTTTCAGTTGGTATTCCATCGATCCGGCAGAGGTGATCAAGACTTCAAAGGAGAAGCGCAAGGATAGTTATCACTCAAAGGTAAAGAAATGAAACAGAACATATAGATGTTTGAATTGGCAAGTGTTTAACCCATAATTAGCACAGATCTGCACTACAATACAGGGTGAGTAAAAAACCTCCGAAACCCAAATGGCAGGACCAAGTTTTGAATTAAATTTGTCTGTAGCACTTTCCAAAGCTAGGATATGAAAGCCCAGTCATTAAGCTTTCTTTTAGTACAAGAATCCTTCAAATCATTCTTGGACTTTTTAAGTTACAGAATTTTGAACACAAACACCATTTTAAATTTCTGTCCACGGATCCCCATGCATCTTTAAACTAATAGCATTTAAACAATAATTTTGTCAGTTACTTTAAGGAGAGCTGCAAAATGATCTACATATGTACTCTACCTTTAAGGCCTGACTTGTAATTTAACTTGGGATTTACTCGCATCTGAATGGATTACAACTTTCAGTTGTACAATCTGATTCGCTAAGGTGGCTGAGGCTGATGTCAATGCAGAAGTGCCAGGTTGAGAGGAGGCGCATTTGTCACAAAATAGAACCCACCCCACATAACTGTTCCAGATAGGGCAATAAGCCCCGCCCACCTTTGGTTTTTGAACACAGAGCTTGTCATTGAGCAATTGGGTACCAGGGTCACCTGATCTGAAGTCATGATCTAATTATTCAATTTGCACTGTCTGATTGACACATCAGGAAGGGTCCCAGTAGCCCCAAAATATAAAAAGAATTTCCCTTTCTACATGTATATTGACATTACTTAGGGACATTACAGTATTTGGAAGATACACGTACGTTCAAATCTCTGGCGAATCATTCAGTAAAATTGTCCTAAACTTTGACTTTTGACCTTTGCAGGACAAGGAACTGATCATCATGGTTGGCATTCCTGCATCGGGCAAGAGCAGTTTTGTCCGGAAGTATCTCCTGCCCCACGGCTATTCGCACGTCAACCGTGACACGCTGAACACCCCAGCAAAGTGCATTGCGGCGACGAAGGAAGCCATCAAAAGTGGGAAAAGCGTGGTCGTGGACAACACGAACCCTTCAAAGGCAGCCCGGTCAGATTACATAGATCTCGCCAAGAATGCCAGTAAGTGCTTGGAGTTTTGCACATTGCAACTTTCAGTGTTGTACATTTGTACTTGTGATGTACATGAATACCACAACCTGGTCACAAATAAATCACCAGCAATAAGTCCTGCAATATATATAGTCAAACTCCCAACTTCCAACTCCAGCTCCGATCAAGGCCTGTTTGATCTAATATGATCTGATGAAAAGCTGAAAATTCAGCTATAATGGTGAGCATTGCTTTAACTTATTTTCATCTACATGCATATGAACAATATCAGCAGATAAAACGCCTTAATTGTCACAGTTAAGTTGAATAGGTTAGGAGTTGACTTGGGATTGGATGACTTGTGATTGACTTGTAATGACTTTTGATCTGTCGCAACCCTAACCCTGCTGAATCCAACAGGATCCAACTATATCATAAACCTGTTGGAGCCTGTTGGATTGAGCAGTAAACCACTTGTACAAATGCACATGTACATATTCAGAGTCAGATCTGTTGGGCAGCACTGTAAATAACGCAAGTTACATGTAGGACTCTGTTGGATCCAGCAGGCATTAACATTAGGCACAGTTGGATTCTGTTGGATTGAGCAGTAAGTAAACATTGGACTCTGTTGGATTTAGCAGGGTAGTCTTGAGGAATCCAGGGGGTGTTAATCGTTAAGCCTTTCAGTGCTTCATGAAATTTGCTATCAGTTTCTGATGCGACAAAGTGACTGACACCTTGGGCCAAGTAAATAAAGAAACCAGATTCCCACCGACCTCCTTTTTCTTTAATCATACATTTGCAGTATTATCTGTCATATTTATTTCCAGCAAAATTGTAGCTATATATTTGCAAATCTGGTTGAAATTCTGGTAGAAAGGGTGACAGCTCCTTTGAACACAAAAGATTTAGAAAAATGTTCAAGAAAATGGAAGAATACATCCTCCATCTTGGAAAATACGCCATCTTGGTGAAAAAAAAAAGAGGAAATGGCCAGTTGAGAATCTAGAGTTTTTTTTCTTGGCCTAACAATATGCATAACATCAGTGACAGTCCTGAGATTTTATATTTTCCAAATTGTCATTTAGAGTACAAGGTTCGCTGCTTTGTGGTGGATACCCCCAAGGAGATAGCCCACCACCTGAACTACATGCGGCAGACGCAGACCAACGGCAAAGTGCGCCGCATCCCCAAGGTCGCCTACAACGTCTACAAGAAGAACTACGAAGAGCCCCAGAAGGCCGAGAAGATTGACGAGATTGTTAAGATCCCGTTTGAGCCCACGTTTGAGGGAGCTAAAGATAAAGAGCTGTTCCTGCAGTGGACTGGGGAATAAGGTAATAAGATCGTGGGCAATAGGCTGTGTCTGTGGCTGCGGCTTGCCATTACACGTTTGTCTATGGACAGTGATGAAAGTGACTTAAGCCGCTTCCAATAGACAGTACATTACTGTCAGTCGTAGCCAAGTAATTCAGACATAGCCATAGTTCCATGGAAGCCATGGCCATTCACTAGATGCTGGAATTAATGTCCTGCCAATAGTTTCTAACAGTGTTGTAGTACTCATACTTGGTACTCGTACTCGAGTACTACTCGAGTACTTTTTTCAGAGTACTCGTACTCGAATGTCAAAGTACGCGTACTCGACATGTCGAAATTGCACTCGATCATCAAAGTACTCGTACTCGAAAAAAAAAGAAAAAAAGAGAAAGGTTAACTTACCACGGCCTTATTTTATCGATACTTTCAGTTTGAAATGGTTGATTGGCTTGCGGAGAAATCAAAGTTTCCTGATATTCCTCTGTGTGCGTCCGGACAAACACACTTACATGTAGATAGCCCAGAGTGGGTCTGTATATCGGTCTGACTGGGCCTGGGCCAATGTACTCATACTTGTACTCGGAAGTACAAGTACTCGTACTCGGAGACCTGTACCTGTACTTGGAGGTACTCGTACGGTACTCAGCAACGTAAGTACTCGGCAGTACTCGGTACTCGGAAAAAAAGTACTCGACTACAACACAGTGTATACATTTACATGTAACATGGTTTGAGGGAAGTACTGCAAAAGTACTGTTCCTGAGCCATCGGCTTTATATTTAATCAAATTTTAAGAAAAAGACAATGGGCAATAAGCGCCTTGATTTTTTTAACCTTCATGCAATTTGAATACTTTTAGTCTTTAAATGGTATCATAATAATCAAATTTAAATATTTTTCAGCATGAAATTTTTGTAGCGTCTAAAAATAGTGCTTTACATATTATAAGACTGTCACTCAGAATATAATAGTTTCATATTTCAATCATTTTTACTAATAAATGAAATCAGTGTTTTTAGATACTATACATGTACATATAGCTATGATGATAATTATTACAATTAGGAACTAAATTATAAATTATATATAAATCATATGGTGACTTATTCAATAGTATATTTGTGACCTGTCATCACAAAGTGAGCTGGAAATTGTCATTTTGCAGTGCAGTGTGACAGAGCCAAAATTTGTGGTTGATTTTTTTGTTTTCAGGTGAACCTTAATCTGTAAGTCATTTTCTACCTTTCTCAAATTTGTTTTGTCCTGTAAACATAATTTAAAACCTGTTTCATCCCATACATGTATTATGAGTTGACTGTGCATTCACTGTAACACAACTACAAGATATTAAATGCCATTTTCTCAAGAATTAGTTTTACCACTTCAAGTAAGTTGGTGGTCTTTACATGTATTTCTGTTACTGAGCCCAGTACCCCTTAATATTGTATACCATTGGAAAGTTTGTGTTCTGCAGAATATAGATGTATAAATACGGTGTATCTCAATTCTTCAAAAGTTGGAGTTTACGCTCATTTTGTGATGACAGGTCATACATGTAAATTTATGAACTGCTCATAACCAGTGATCATTGGTGCTCAAAGCACTATATTATCATTACCCCTACTCATCGGGCATGTAAAACATGCCTTACACCATATTTATCTTTTACTCATGGGTTGGGAGAAGCAATTTGTGACAATGTGTCTTGCCCAAGGACATGTATGCATTGCAAAACTACACGGGGGTTGAACTTGCAATTTTTAGAATTACATGTAGGCTACATGATCTTACGATTAATACAAGCTCTGTGGATGAGTGTTAAGGACACCTGCACTAGTAAGCAGGAGGTCGTGGATTCGAGTCCCACCCGAGCAAACTTATGAATTTTTGTCCACATGCTTTCAAAAATGTAAACAATGTGCTGTGGTTATACATTACTCTGGTGAAGGGCAAAACCAGTATTAAATTTCACAAAAATGCTTAAACATGTGGCCTTTTCAATTAAATCCTGCACATATTTTTGTATATTTTGAATGATCAACTGAAATTTTAACTGAAATAAACCAAATTTAATATAATAATTGAAAGCATATTTTAATTTAATAATAAGCATTTTATTTCTGTGTTAGTGATAACTTTTTTAGTTGTAAGGTTGTAAGGTACGTGCCATTCCTGACTGGCTGGTTGTACCTGTAGCTTATTTTCTAATAAAATAGCAGTAGCGAATTTAAGAACTTATTCTTTGAGTTTAGAACTTACTTATTAGTGTCTGTTGCCATTCATAAAACTCTTTATCACAAGATAATTCAATCTGAGTATCAACACATCTCATCCGCCATGCAAAGCTTCAAGTCATATATACATGTGTACTTTTAAAGCCAATGGTAAAGTGTAGAGGTTATAAATTAAACCTACACACGAAGTTTCATTTTTTAGGCCCACCCTTTCCATTTGGACATGAATGAAAACCTTAACACTGCAAATCAATATGAGTTTTCTGTCCTTCACGAGTTGCGATAATTTTGACATGCCTTTCCCACACCTTTCCGAACCGCAATCTTAGCACGAAAATCTAAAACCACAAAATTTAATAACTAAAATTGTATAATTTCATGTTGTCACTAGATCAATGTTTTTTGAAGTGCTTTTTTTTTTGAAGAAGCTTGTGAGATGTTTTACAAAGTATGAAGAACTGGTACCCCCCCCAAAAAAAATGGGCATGTAGACTATATGTAAAGTATTACAAATTGGTTGAAGTCTATTTCTACACTTTGCTGTAACAGCTGTCTTTGTCACATTCAGACAGTTTCAAGACCATTGCTGAAGATGCCAATCAAACATGGATGCTGTTAAACAAAGAAATATCCCCGAATAATCAGACACGTGCCATTATGCAGATCTTGTGTACATGCATGTTTATGTCAGGAAAGGCCCGTTTGCAGTCAAGCTTGCCTCTCAGTTTGTCGTACAGCATCAGATCAAAGAACGACCCCTCACTGTCCCCCTCCTGGGTAGCAGACCGATGGAGAGAGCCGTGGGAGAGCATGACCACCAACCTGCACAAGTTCAAGCCTGTACCATTATTAACAGGGGTGTGAAATCTGAGCTTTAAAGCTGATTTCGTTTTTTTTTTGTTTTGGATTTCAGCTTTTTTCCCTCACTTGCTGTGTACGAAAGTATAGGAGATTTCCAAAGTTCAGCCTTTTTTACACCTTTTTCAGCTGCTTTGAGCTATTTTTATCAGTGGTCACTCGCACCCCTGCATTAACAAAGCCAGCAGGACACAACCTCGAGCGCAAGCCCTGGGCTCAACCGACTACCGATTGGGTGAGGAAAAACTAACTCTTTCCTCCACTAGTTGGGGCCAGATCAGAGCTGACGAAACCTGCTCCTGTGGGTCTCAAAAGACAACCATGCACATCCTACGAGAGTGAAAAAGACGGTGGCTTGAGGCTTCTGGGTTTTTTTCGAGGACAGCCTGTAGGAATACATCAGAGACGTTTTTTCTTCATCTTCTCGATACAGATTCCATTTTTTAGTAACCTGCTTGGAGAAATTCTGCTTGGATATTCAGTGATATGATCGCGTATTCATATGTGGTAAAATCTGCACAGCTGGACAATACTTGTAAAACAGATAAATGCATGAAGCAATAAGTGCCCTTCACTGACCTTCTTCGCTAGGCTAGTAACCCCCTATTTGGAAAGTCTATACTGTGATTTAATATCTCGGATCTCGCATAAATGACAACAGATATTCATCAAGACAAGGTCCATCAGATCCAACATTTGGACTTGATTGTCCATTTTGTTCACGAGTTATGATTAAAACAAATCATTCGATTCTTGAACTAAAATCACATGTAATTTTAATAATACAGGATGGCGTCATCGTGACTCAACTCCCTGTATGTAACAGGGTTGATATTTGTTCCAAATTTACAACACGCGACACAAAGGTCAGGTCATCCACACCAAATGTGAGATGCAAATCTGAGATGCGAGATCCGAGAGGCGAGATCCAAGATGCGAGACGCGAGATCTGAGATACGAGATCAGAGATCCGAGATGGCAGATATAGTTTTTTATTTTTCCAGGTGGGTGAGACGGGAATTTCAAGACAGAAGTTGGATAGCAGAGGTGAGTACTGTTAGCATGTCCTCTTTCAGGTGAGCTCTAGATTATTTTAAAAATGGAGGATTTTTCAATGACTGCATGCCCACTGTGTTTTCACAGACGACATCATGCCTAAGATATGGAGCCAGAACGTACATGTTTTTAGTCTGCACTGCACTTTGGTTCAAGTCATGCATTTAAAATAATATTTGAAAGGAAAATCTTTCCAACACACACTAAAGCTGTGTAGTGCACACACAAACGTGACAAATTGAGGGCTTTCAATTTCAAAATGTTATAAAAGAGACAAAGCAGATGTAAATTGACTCGTTTTTGTGAATGACTTTTAATACGCATGTACACACATTTTAAGGACATACTCAACCAGATTAATGCAATTAAATTGACTAATAAAACTTAAGTACATTCTTTTACACGTCAAACATATGTGTAATTTTTTTCAAAGTTTTAAAACATCTATCTGCAGACTTCATCTACTATTGGAATGACAGGTGAACAGACATTTAAAACATTCTTCCATCGTCATTGAAATTTAAATGTTCCACCTGACCTGCACAATTAATGCCACTGTCTGTCTTTTAAAATATGACAATCTAATGCAATTGCCCTAGATTCTGACAGGTTTCAAATATAAGAAATCCCGCTTATTATCATTTGTCATCTCATTTTCACCGTTAGCATGGTCAAGTAAAAATTGTATTTTGCAAAAATATTTTGGAAACACCTTCGCATCGTCATCAATCATTTTGGCAAGCCCAAGTCCTTGATGTAAACATCAATCTCATACAAGCTTGCTGAAATGAATGCATGCGTACAATGAATTTACATGTAGTTTCAATTTCAGGCATGGAACTTTTCCTCGGATCAGCTGATTTCCTGGGGTTTTTCACTTTAAACTTATGCCATTAAAAATTTGACAAACACTGTATGAAGGTCTTGAATTCCCAGATGCATGTCGGCAGTTTGTGAGTGATTTGTGCACTATGGCTTCATTGAAAATTTCTCAGAATTCTATCTTACCATCATTCCCTGTTCACAGTCATTTCAGTCAATAATTATCAATATTTATAACAGCTACATGTACGTGTAAGTAAATAATTACATGAATTAAGAATATACTTTCATGGCACAGTAATTTTAGTCATCATCGTCATCGGTACTCTGCACGGCATTGGCAAGTCCTTTTACACGAGTTACAGATAAACATTCTGAATTCTTACATAATAATTTAATTATACACGTATATATCAAACCTGTAATCATCCATGATTAAAGTCATTAACGCTTAAAATCAACAAGAATTTGTACATGTAGGCTCTTGCAGAATACTCATGTTTTGGGTATATTTAAAATTAATTACTGAAACCTGAACTGAAAAATGCAAAATCTTTAAAATCTTTGGCCTTTCATACATGTACACCTTTTTTTTTTTATAACAACCAATTCACTATGAATTTTAACAAATTGGCACATTCAAGAATACATCACTGAAGCATATAATCTATAAATAAAAAAACTTTTACTGCTCATGACATCAAAAACCTGCTTGTAGCCGAATACAATTTTGTTCAATACACACATTTCACTCCGACACCAAATACAATTACACTGCAAAATATTAAAAATCAATAAAAATGCATAAAACAAATTTCTGCTTTCAGATTATACTTCAAGTCTGAGACTTTGACAGGATTTCTTGTTCAATCCAAGCCACTCACATGACTTACCGTTCCAACGGAAACATGGGCAAGTTGTTCACAGTAGCTTGCGATACATGCGTTAAGGCAGAGTTAGAGCAGTGGTTAGGCAGTGGTTTTGTATCGCTCGGATATAGGCCTGAGTAAACCATCTGTGCAGTCATTAATAAATTATAACAAAGAATACACTGATGAGACACCTGCGATGTATAAGTTTATATACTCCGTGCATGCATGACTTCACCCAAACCAACCTAATGGGGCTCGTTCAATGACGACCATTTCTGTAGGAGAACTGCAACTGCGTATTTTACGCAATCAAGCACGTATTGCGCAGTGTTGAAATTGTTCCAAGCACGCGCGCTTGTTGCTTGAAATGTGTTCGAAATATGACGCAGCCGATGCATGTTATGCAAGTTGACGCTCAAAATGCCGATGCACGTGGGTGGTCTGTAGGAAATGACGTCATTTGAACGAGACCTATACGTGTAACATATTTGTAAGTGTTAAGAATTTGTGGTTAACCAATTCCCTCTAAAGTTGTACAAAAAATTCAGAGAAATACAGTACATGTACAGTCGAACACCTTTATAACAAGGTACAGTCGACTCTCGTTAGTACAAACTCTGTTAATACAAAATTCTGGTTATAACAAACATACACATGTACATGTAAAGCCTTGGTCCCGACTGTGTATTTCTGTGCACAATGAATACGACTGATGTGCCTCTTAATACAAAATTCTGATATAACAAACAATTTGGCTAGGTCCGAGAGAGTTTGTTATAACGAGACTCGACTGTTACTTGGGACTTTACGATACATTTGTACCTTGTTATAACAGGTACACTGTATCTTGTGTTAAAACAGTAATGGAAAAAAAAGGAAAACAAAGAAAAACAAAGACTTGGGACCTACAATTTTGCTTGTTCAAGCATGATCTTGTATTAACAGTGCTCTTCTTATCAGGGTTCGACTATAAACAGAATTTGATATCAACCAAAAAATGTTTAATGGTTTTGCTAAAAAAAAAAGAACAAAAATGCATTATGATCATGTAGAACTAAGTAAACTCTGAACTTGTACTTATGGAAATGTAAAAAAAAAAAAGGATTAAAAATTGATAGCTTTAATAGTATGTTTTGTTCTATTTGAGAACGTTTGTAACAAATTGGCACAATTGCAATCAGGCACTTGCAAGGTCATACATAAAATGCTGATATACATTCCTGTCCTATCAAATGCGAGCAGCTTTGCTGATCTTGTCATATATTTCAGGGAAGGCTTTCTTGCAGCCCAGCTTGTCTCTCAAGTTGTCGTACAGCGTGTGATCAAACATCTGGCGGAATTCCTCCCGAGTCATGTGAGAATCAGCATACAGCATCTGGAATCTGAGTGAAATTGGAGCACGGGTCCAAAATCAGAGGTAAGAATAAATTGCCAATGTTTTATTCTTTTATTCAGAAGTTTCTTTCTGGTAATGGACAGAGCTGTTACATCCACCACAAGTAAGTAAAAAGGAAATAAAGTCTATTGATGACCAATGTATGGCCGGCATTTATTTTCGACTGACAAGATATGTTTTTCTATTCCCCCATGATGGGATGCCAGTCCATCCCAGGTTACTCCCCAGCTAATGCCGGTACCCATTTATACTCCTTGGTCAGGAGAGGCAAGTGGGGGTGAAGTGGCTTGCTCAAGGACACAACATATAGCCAGCAGCTGGGTTGGACCTCCTGACCCACTGATCTTGAGTCACGACCCCTAACCGCTAGACCAAACCCCATGTAAGTCGCTGGTCAAATCAAAAGTAAGGCCACAAGTATCTGGGAGCAAAAATGACAAACGAATGCCTTTGCCACAATCCATGTGGACTTGAGACTGGACTTGAGCATGTTGAGACTGGATGACTTGTGACTTGTGATTGACCACATGCTCAATACGGTCAGAATACTTCATGGTCTACTCATTTCTGTCAAGTGAGGGAAGTATTAGCGTATCGCTAGGTTCTGGGTACTAGAGAACCTGTACTACATGTATCACATGTCACAAAGTGATCTGCACATAAGAACACTCACCCATGGACACTGCGAACATACTCTTCAACTCGTCTTGTAGTTTCAACAAAGTGGAAGCCCTTTCTCTTGGGGGTTCCGTAGGCTCCCAAGTCGACATACATCTCATCTTTGTTCCCCTTTGGGTGGACAAGACCAGGTACAGAAGGCAGCAGAAAAGGGCACAACCACAGTGGGTACAGCTGTCAACAGAATGAGGAACCATACAACAGGTAATAAGGCCTTCTCATATGCTTCAACTCAGGCGAAGTTCGGGCAAGGACCATTAGTCGACCAGTGGTTGATTTGTGATGTACCTTACTCCTGCGCACTGATAGCAACGTGCGAACGTCTCTAGTCAAACGCTGGTCAAAATGTCGTCGCAAAACTTCTGGATCCTGGCTCTCTGCTTGCGTTATGAATGCGCGCGGCTATTGGTTACCAGCGAAGCAACCAACCCCAGTAGGCTGGTTCCAAATAGTCGACTAGCGTAGTCAACCACCGTCGACTAGACAGAGTTCGGGCAAACGTTAGTTAACCATTGGTCAACTATAGTCCTTGCGCGAACTTGGCCCTAGTTGTGGAAGACCTGTCATCCTCACTACAAGCAAAAGTTACTTCGGACTGGTTCAAATCTATTCAAATCGAAGACCTCAATTTTTTTCAAGCATGGAATCTAATTCTACCTCCATGTTTCAAGTGGCCTGAAGATGCCAATTGTAATATCGTTCCTATGCCCTTGTGGAGGCTGTCTGTCAATCTGGCTATTGTAGCTTAACTTTTCCTTGCTGGAAACTTGAAAACTTAGGACTTACCACTAGTGTTTATGGCTATGACTTCTTGTCATTTCAAGTTCCTATTTTATTTCTGCATCATTTTCTAATATCCACACAATAATTTTGTATTATCTCTGCACAGTTTTCATGTTTGAGATTTCCTGAAGGCTTAGCTTTATTCTCTCCTTATTATTGACATCCTCTAATTCATCATGTTATAATGACACCAAAAAAGCCAAAGAATCATTGCATTTACAAATAATTTAGTACTTGATTATTCAAATTTGGACTTGATCAAGAATACACTGAAAATTGGCCGTAGATCCAGATTCGCGTGTTTAAATGTAGCTGTTGAAAACAAAAATCTGATTAGAGTATCATAAAAAAGAGGTAGCATAATGGCTGATATGTGACTGATTTTAAAGAAGACATTTGAGTTAATATTTGATTTGAAAAAAACAAAAATTCTACTTGGATACTCGGTTGATGATCGAATATTGTACACAGTGAAATCTCGATAAGTCAAAACCTGTTAAACTCAAAAACCCTTCTAACTCAAAGTAAAAACTTATTCCCATCAATTAAAATCCATTGGATAACTCAAAACTCTGCTTAACTCAAAATTTGAGCCAATTCCCCTGAGGTTTGACTTATCGAGATTCCACTGTATTTCCGATTCAGCACAGCCCTACTTGCCAGGCAGAGGATAAAATACACATTCAAAACCCATAAGCTGGATACACCCGTAGGACATCATTTCAATCTTCCTAATCACTCAATTTCTGACATGATTTTACAGGGCACTGAGGCACTAGGAAACCACAGAGAGATTGTTCGTCTTGAGTAAAGAGAAATTATGGATAAGACGTCTCCAGACCATTCAACCCCATGGTATGAACATCCAAGAAGGAAATGACTAATAACTTTTTGTCTTTGCCTTCTCCTTTTCACCACAGATAAGCCCCCCCCCCCTCCAGTCTGCCTCATTCACCAATTAACTACCTTTCTCTCCCTCTCCCCATCATTGACTTTGTCCTTTGTGTTCCCCACCTCTTGTGGTCAACCATCCCCTTCCCCCAATCCCCCTCCCTTTTGTTACCCTCCTTTCTGTTCAGCTGCCTGCTTTCTCTGCGTATTTTCCTCTGCATCATCTATTTCCACTTGACTGCTTTTGTTACATCAGTAATGTATACATGTACCTGTTTATGTTTATAGTCTTGTCATTCAGCCTTCGAGAAAGACTCAGCTAGGGTCGAAACGTCAGGCCACTAACTATTTTTTGCATTTATACCATAGGTCCTTTTGGTTGGTAAGCAGTTTGCAAGAGCTAATTCTATTTTTCGATAAAATAAACAAATGGAAATAATTCCGCTTACATCCAACTCCTTGTCAAAGCAGTTGAGTGACTCTCTGAGCTTGCCGAGAGGGACCAGCATGTCCTGGACCACATGGTTTTGCTCGTACAGTTTGCGCACCGTCTCTCCCTGGGTCAGCTTCAGAAGAGATATCTTGGGAGGCACCATCCAACCGAAGAGGTAGCGGAAGAGCAGGTTGTTGCCAAATGGGACGATGTCCTGAAATCACACAGACCAGAAGATAAAAAAAATATTAAAAGCTGAAATTATGATACAAGCATTAGCTCATCAACGTGTTGCTTAAATATACATTGTAATGTTACTAATAGAATGTGAAACAAAAACTATTTCCATCGTATAATTACAGGCGCTCATTACAAACCAAGTCTTGACTTATAGAAGAACAAATCCAATTTGTTCATGTTACATCAAACTTTGTTTGAGAATTTATATATTTTCAAAGGGTGACTCATATTAGGATCAAGTTTAAATTTGTCTGAAAGTTAACAATGCAGGTAATTTCCATCATCTGTCCTGCTGCTTTGAATAAACTACACGTTTTAATAAAGTTGTTTTCTTGGGCTCATCACACACTTTATGGCAGGACGCATGACCTACCGGTATGTGACACACCACAACCTTTGCATCAGAGCTTCACTTGTTTTGAGCATCACGATGTTGGGTGGCTGTTGTCTGCAGCTACACTCACCTGAAGTTCCCAGAAGATACTCCGTGTGTGACGGTGATAGTATTGCCGTAGAGGGATATACTCAACACCCGGCCCGGTACGCAGATAAGACTGCACGTGCTTGAAGAACCACGGCTTCCAGAAATTTCCAATGCTATTAACCTTCAACAAAGAAGTTCACAATGTCAGAGGACATATAGTCAGAAAACAGGGGACTACCGCGAAACATGGAATACTCTCCAGTTTTTTAATATACATGTAGGCAATGCAATTGCCGTGTCATGGCCGAGCGGTTAAGAGCACCGGACTCAAGCTCTGGTGTTTCTGATCAGCAGAGTGTGGGTTCGAGTCCCGGTGCCTGGTCTTGACACTTGTGTCCTTGAGCAAGACACTTAAATGTTATTGCTCCCTCCTTCAGATGGGACGTAGGTCCTGTGTGTTGTGTAATGCACGTTGAAGAACCCAGTAGCACTTTTCGCTATAAAATAAAGAGAAGGGGTTTGCCCTGGTGTTTCTGGCAGTAGCTGCAATATGCGCCGCAGCACCTTGTTAACCCTTAGGTGCTACATAATGGGTCTCATATTTCGTGAACTTCATTTACTTTTCTTTAAAAATAAACATTATTATTAGTGCCGTGAGTACGTAATTGTTGGTAGATACATTTGTTATATCAGACTCCGGGATTATTTTTATTATAATTTGTCAACAGTGGACTTATACAACCATTTTTTTTTATGAGGAAACACTTAAACTTTGTAAGTGTGTAACAACTTCAATATCTCACTTCTAAAGTGGAAGTGCACTTTTCACACTTCAACACCCATATTTGTTGCAGGGATTAGATGTTGTGGCAAACCTTCCTGCCTAAGGACACAACAAAAGTATTTGAGCCCTGGAAACCGTATTTTTAAGAAACTGTCTCAGTTCACACTTCTTGGGAGTTGCTGCAATACCTACCTTACTCTCCTCAGCATTGTCAGTTATATTCGCCGTCATGACAACGGCCTCCTCCTTATTGTACATCAACGCCTCCACGAACTCATTGCCCGATTTCTTTGTTATTTCCTCCGAGAAAACTTTGATGACTTCGTCCATCGAGTGCGCCGGCTTATACTCCACCTTCACATACTTTTTAGCCGGAACAATCTGTATTTCTGCCGCAACGAGCAAACCGAGTGTTCCGTAGGACCAGGGCACAGCATAGAACAAGTCAGGGTTTTCGTCCTTCAAGAAATGTAACAATGACAAAAAATACATTTCAGTTACAGTCCTTCAAAGACCAAACCACAAACTTAATTTACAAAACATCCATTTACCCTGATGTCAAAGACCTAACCACAAACTTAATTTTTACAAAACATCTGTTTATTACTGATCGAATTCATCAATATCTTTTATCAAGTGACTCCTTAATTGTTTTTTTCCTTTCTAACATGTCTAACATTCTATAAGAATGATCCTCACTGAATTTTTTACAAGAAATACTAGATTAATCCTAAAAAAGTGCTTAATCCTGCAATTTTAATAGGATTGTTCACACACCCTAGGTGGTTAGGATTAATCTTGTGTGTGAGCACAGTACCAGCATCTCTGACAAACTTTTCACACATGTTCTGTGGGATCCTCGTGGTTACCCTGAAAACTATCTAATACACTGATAATTAACTGTGTACTTTTATTACTGGGCTGTAAAATAACGGAAAATACAAAAAAAAAAAAATGTTGTCATATCCGGACCATCTAAAGTGTCATATCCGGACCAATCACAAAAGGTTACATGTATGACTGGAGCGGCCATTTTGCTGTTAAGTTTGTAAATTTAACAACTGCATTGGATTTGTTTGACCTGTTACTTTGCAGTAACAAGCCATTGCTGCGCTCTTGATTTACATGTATTTGTACAAATTTATTTGTACAAATTCTTTCCACCCACTTTTGTTTAGTCTGAGAAGTTTTTGGACATGCCAAAAGTTTTTAGGAAAATCATACAGTGGACATCATAATGGGGGAGAAACTGGGTACTAGTGCCATTTCTGGACCACCTGGTTAATATGCATTTGGCAGCCATTCCGCCATTGAATTAATTTGTACCGGTAGTTGAGCATGTTCTCCATTTGACCTATTTGATTCAGTATCAGAGCTATTTTGATCACTAGCCATTGTAATCCTTTCAATATAACACAAAGTCGATGTCTATCAGCAAATTTTGTTTATTCTGTGCCACCAAGTTTTGATAAGAAAGGAACCTTTAACCCAACCGTAACCCAAAATAGCCAACACGCCAGTCTATGTTTTCTATTTTTGGAGTGGACTCAAAAGGTGTACTTTTAATGTTCTGTTCTTTTTGTTAGTTGAGTATCCAGGTAATGGTGTGTGATACGATGGGCCTTTTAAAGACTCTTTTTCAAAACCTTTGCTTCGTCTTCGGCTTTATCTCCGACTTCTGAATCACTGGGAAGCAAACCAAATAGAAATATTCAAACTTTGGCCTCATATCATGCAACTAAATGCTCCTGAAACACAACATGCACTGAGCTGCAGTCCCCGAATTTTGAGGCGTCAAATCTCCAGAAGGCGAAGCTGGAGACAAAGCCAAGATTTCGAAAAAGCCAAACCAACCTTGGTGCACCTGACTAAACTGCCATCCGCCATGACCAGTTCATAAGCCACACAGGTGTGCTGGAACAAGCCAAACTTGTGGGAGGATGTTTCAATACCCACGCCCATTACCATGCCGCCTGCCGGGAAAATGTAGTGCAACGACTTAAAGTTAACTCTAGAACAACAGGCATGATATTTGACCACCAGAAAAAAAAAATTAAAAAAGGGTCCCACGGATCCCCAAAAGTGTAATATAATTTAGTTTGTCTACAGTACAAAATGCTGAAAATCAGTGGTGGAAATAATCTGAAATCTTATTCAAAGAAGAAAAATATAATGCCTGGCTGACAAAAAAGTAATACAATACTGCATTATAATCATCTTTGATTGTGTAGAGAATGACAACTTAAAAAAACTAATTTATTACAAAGGGTGTAAACACGTTTTGAAAAAGAACTCTGAGCGAGATGTGATTAGATGCTGTATAGCAATAATGCATATTTATAAAGTGCAGTTTCCACCAGTATTGGTGCTGGCGCTACATCCTGCTCAATTGGGCTAATGAAACATTCCAAATAACATCTCAGCTCCCTGGGGAGTATACAGCTTGGTGCTGCCATTTTGGTGCACTTGAAGCAGCTAAATTAGCCATAATATTAAACCATCTCTACCCTCACGGTACCCATTCACTCCTTGGTGCAGTGTTTCCCCTGGCTAATGAACTGAGCGAGGTGGTAAAAATTCAAATTGATGATTGAAACAAAATTTACTCAGTCTGCAAACTGAAAAGAATGCAGTGCTCTCAAAAAATGCGCGATGATTCCATCTTCACATCCAAATTGTGAGTTTTTGATACATAAAGGTCAAGGAAAATGCTCATAAATTACAAAAAATGTAAATTTTTCGATTAGTAAATTTCCTTATTGCAAATCTTCACAGCGAGGTGGTGATATTGGCAAAAATTGAGCGAGGTGGTCATTGAAAGTAGCGAGGTGGGCCGCCTCACGTTTGGATGGGCAGGGGAAACACTGCCTTGGTCAGTTGGTGGAGAAAAGCAAAGACAAAATGAGTGAAAAAGTGCCTTGCCCATGGACACACACACCACAAACCCCAGGCTGACTCAAACCCACAACCTGCAGAATACCCGCAGATCACGAGTTCAATGCTCCAGACCACGAGGCCACAGCACTCTACCCCACTGACTGAAATGAAACCATATATTCTTTTTGGTATAGTGCTGATATTTGGGTTTTTGCCTGGGCTGGTACAAGGATTTTAGCTCTTTTGTCTCAATGCCCTGGAAGAGTACTACAGGTTGAATGCCTACAGCCTACAACCAGCAGAAAAGAAAATTGTATGACTTGACAGTTCATTGAATTTAATATCCTGTGTAATATGTGTTTATTAATGAAACCATGTTTTCTTTTAGGATTGTTGAAAGTGGTGCACAAACAATGGAAATCTGTAATTGTGTGGGTGTGTCTGTGTGCAGTGAAAGAGTATGTGTCTGTCCAGCGTGTACGTGAACTATATACACCCCGAGGACAGACAGACAAAGGGAGAACAACAGATTCTTTGTTGTCCTCGAGAGTTCATCTTTTGTTGAAATCGGTCCTCGGTCGTGCGTTTGTGTGCTTAGTCTATGGGAGAGTGTTATATTACAGAGACAAAGGAAAAGACAAAGCATTGTCCTCGAGAGTATAGTAAAACACGACTGTGTGTACATGAGTGTGTGTCTGTCCAGCGAGGATAGAGTGGCCACCTGTGGTTTGGCAAATTGCCTTAATAAGTTGGGCTGAGTAAAAGATAAAAAACGTTATTGAAAAAAGAAAAACACACCTGGCTTTAAAGGAAAAATTCAAAGTTTTTAATGACTTGTAGCTCATAAAAGTTGTGTTGAATTGTATAATTCACTTAAAAAGGGGTGGATTTCGCATAAATGTGAGCATGATGTGAGGTACATGTATTTCTTCACATACCTACGGTCAGCACGTCTAGTTCAGGAAGCACAGGGAGGGTCCATCCCATTGGATTCAGCATGGCGGTCACCTGTCCCATGTTGACCAGCGGCTCGACTCGTACCACTCTCCGCTTAGTATCCACTTCTAGGATGTCGACTACCACACACAAATTTCAAAGCCAATTTTCAGATGAGCACATCTATGTTTGATAACCAACACTTGAAACAAGACTAGGCTTGCTTGGTCGAGCTCAATCCAAAAGTCTCAATTTCGGACATCCAGGTGCCCCCCAAAAATGCAATCCTAAAACATTTGCCTGTTAAAAAAAGGGATCGGTGGATTTTTCTGATTTGGGTTTCAGATTAAAGCTGAGAAATGTTACTACTTTTAACTCTGAAACAATCATGAAAATAGCACTTTGGGTTGTTGAGAAAATGCCAATTATGTAAAAGTAGTCATTTTTCATCCTGTACACAAACAATTACCACAGTAAGGGATTTTCACTAAATTATTTTTATATTAACACCTATTGTGCATGTCTTAATCCTTACAAACAACACGGCCGTACAGACTATGACAAGAGTGCAAATGAATTTGATGGAAACACATTTACCTTTCAATCTGAACAGCCTGGTATCGCATCCTTTTTTAGTCCTATTTTGAAACCGTTTCATTATTATAATTAAATAAATGTCAAAATACTAAAGAAAGTGCACAAATGAAGGATAATTGCACAGTAGGCTTACAGTTAAATGTTTCATTGTTTGAAGTACATTTGTGAACTGGATGAAAAGTGACTACTTTTACATAGGTAGTTGGCATTTTCTCAGCAACCCAAAGTGCTAATGTTCATGATTTTTCAGTATTTGAAAGAAAAGGCTCTCAGCTTTAATCCGATAACCAAAATCATAAAAATCTACCGATCCCTTTTTTTTAACTCGATAAATGTTTTAAGGTTGCATTTTTTGGGTCACCCTGTACAGGTCGTGTTTGAAGCAGCTAGGCCTCCAGAGTGACTGCTAACAACTTGTTCCTTTGTAGTTGTAAATTGGATGACAACCTAGACAATAGCCTTTTATACCATGACACAAGTTTCAATTTAACTTTTTGAGATTTATAGTTTTAAGGTTTATATATAATATGAAAACTATGCAATAAATTCAGAATATGAGCTAATCAAACTTTGGCATATCTCTCTTCTGATTAGCTCATGTTTTGAATTTATTGCATGATTATAGCTCTACAGATATGTATCGAGCACTGTGAATTGTGATAGAAGACGATTTCATTGGAGATAATATGAAAACTAGATACATTTTCAAATAATGGCAGGAGGAAGGGGCGGGGTTTTGGGGAGTGGTGGGGTTAGAGGAGGGGCTGTCGGAGTTATTTTCTCTACTGTTAATAGATTACCTAGATTGATGTTTATTTTATGATGTGTTTTCTTGTATTTTCCAACCCGCAGACTGACTGTTTGCCATCCAGGGCGTGCCGTACACATTGGTCGTTTAGCCCCATCAGCCTTCCACTGCCGCACCTAGGGAATGACAAGATGAATGAAAGATCAAGACTGGGCCAATAAAGTTTAACCTTGAAGATGCAGATAATAGCATTTTTCTTACGCTTTACAAACACAACAGTGCCTATGATAGGGAAAATACACAAAGGGAAAAAACGAACAATAATAAACAGAGCTGGCAGGCAAATTTAACCCCAAAAATCATAACACCTGATCCTCTAAAAATCCCTCAACCATGTCAACCTGGCAACATATTTCTGCAAAATCAACAAGAAATCCTATTTCTCAGAAAATGTCTACGAGTATGAAGTATGATTAGTAACTGTAATAATGAAGGTGAAAAAAGGTTATTACATGTGTAAAATTCAACATCCACCAGTGTCTTTTAGCACTCTTAGGCCTAATATTTATAATAAAAGTAATATCATGTTCAAAATACCTAGAGAGGTTCAAAAAAATTGTGCTTATTTAAAAAAATTTTTTTTTTTGCTTTGCTGAATCTGACATCCAAGTTTGAAGTTACATGTTTCTTTATCTTTCCCTATCCCCCCCCCCAAACAAAAATCATCAAAAACAAAAGTAGAAACTTTATTCAGAAATAACCTTCCCTGACCATGCTTCAAGTTCAACTCAAGTTAGTTCAACTTTAATCATGTTTGTTTTGAGGGAGTGTCGACCAGTCAACTTCCGATGCAAGAAAACAGAAACCAATCTATTGCCACACTTTGCACTTTAAGTTCCTTCAAAATCCTAGATCGTCTTAACTAAACTATTTGTCAAACCTGTCTCTGTATGTCTTTGACGCGCTCATCGTGCTTGAGTGGGGCAGTGTTCATCCGAAACACGATCCAGTTCCGCACGAAGCTGAACGCGTCGTAGACGACGGACAGCGGCAACAGAAAGAGACAAACGAAGATCCATCGCTGGTGAACAATTGTGTACTCCAGGCCCTTCACACGGATCCACAGCAGAAGGCTGATGATAGGTGCGACACACAATGTGGCCCACAACTCGTACGACATTTTGCAGGAATGGCCAGAAACCTGGGCCAAAAATCACATCGAACTTTGAGGATCTTTTGCACCCCCACCCACCTGCAGGACCTTTTTGTTGTCAAGTAATTACATAATGAATTATGAACGCTTGAGGGCGCTCAACTTTATGCCCAAAAATGGCTGCGCCCTTTGAGAGGATTGAGGCATCTGGATCTGGTACATTTCATACGGCACTGAAGGCAATACATCAAGAGTGAGGTAAATAAATATGCAGAAAGTAAAAAGCCAGTGTCGATTAATTTTTTGTTCCTACAGACCAGCTGCCGCGCGGCCATGGCGGTCCTGAACGCGACACTGACGGGGGCGGGGCATGCAGCACTGGCTGCATAGCATATACTTAGTGACTGCTGAGCTGACCGCGATACCGAAAATCCAGGGGCGGAGCGGACGGGTGGGGGAGGACTGGATAGGAGTATCATATGACCTCATTCAATGCTATGGCCCCCTTACCCCCCCCCCCCCCCCCTCCACCCTTTTAAAATATGGAAGGAATGTTGCAACCTGGTTTTACTTTTATGGTGCCACTTCTTTTTCCGTATAAAATTACATTGTAGGCCCCTATATCACATTATTATAATATCAGTGATCATCTCAAAAAGGTCAGTCATTGTAAAAATGTTGAATGGAGTAATTGCAGAATACCCCGCCACTAGGAAATACACCCCCAAAATCAATTGGCTACGCTGTTGCAGTTGGAATCACTGGAAAACAAACAATTCAAGTTTATCAAGTCAATTGTTGCCACAATGCCAGCTACGCAGATACTGAGTGAGAACTAAGCAACACAAAAGGAAAGGGGGTTGCTGAAAAAAAATTGCCTGTTGAACAGCTAGGCCTATATGAATATGAGACTGAGAAACATTTCCAATCTTGTTAAGAAATACTTAGAACATTTTCTGGACTCTCCATAGACTTTGTACACAACCACTGAAGTGGCATCTGGATACTACATTCTCTCCAAAATAAATCTCTGATCCATAGACATGATATATTTGAGGGAAAGGGTTCGAGTACCCTGTACAGCATGGTTCAGTTATGTTTTCTATTTTTAACATTATTACTCCTGTAAGCCACGTTTAACTTAAGCCTAGGCCTAATTTAATTATTACAAAATGAAAAATATATAACAAATTAGCAGGTTTTTTTGTTGTTGTTCGTTGGTAGCTAGGATGATCCTAGCATTATGCATAAGAGTTGGTTGATTTAAAGGGGGGAGCACATACATTGGAGCCCCTGACTGTGGCCATATTAACACTTCAGGTGTCTTGTGGGTTTTGGTACGAGATAGGTCCTAGCTAAATCATGCTAATATTTTGTCCCAATGGCTTCAATCGTATTCAGCTAAGGATCCCTACACTGCCGGAAGGAACTAATACATGGACGGACAGACAGTCAAGCAGTGGCTGGACAGGGTCACGGAGTGGAAGGAATCTGGGAAGGGAGAGGACAGTCGACCCGATGATGTTGATATCGTCCAGCTTAGGTCATTCCTCAGAGAACTTCACGAACAACTTGTGAAGTGGGTAAGGAGATTTGAAAGAATGCAGTATTCTGATGCAAATTTGATTGGGTTATCAGTCCTTCTGGTTTGAAAATCACAGGTGTGTGGAAAAAGGCACACCCGGATTTTTCTAGGCGTGTGATTTTCTAGGCGAGTGATTTTTCTAGGTGTGTGATTCTATGGTCCAAGCTGGGATATTATTTCATAATATTCATCTTGGTTTACAATTAAGCCATTTTCTCTTCACTGACGTACTTTATTTTTCACAAATTATGAAGTATAATTATGCTGTAAATGTATGCCGAGGTGTGCGGTACTGAGGGATTCAGGCGTACGATTATTCGCACTTCTCAAGAAGCTTTTAGGCATCTACCTGAGCCTATATTAAGGTTTCTGGATAATGAGCCCTCACTTAAAACTTTAAGATAAACCAGTTTCTCAAGGTTGTTTGTAATGAATGGAAACAAGGAGGTACGCTTGAAACTGAAACTAACATGCATCAACAGTCTTGGACTCCTTAGAAATCACAATTATTGATCATAACCTACGTTGATGCTTTTTAAAGTTGTTGAACATATGCTTGAATGCAAAATTACTTCATCATTATAAATTGGCATAGACTTGCGTCCGTGGCGCATCGCCTTCAGATAGTAATGTGGGCGTATTCCTGCGGTCGCCGCCATCACCAACTTAAATTGTTTTATAATTAATATTAACATTCTGCCCGATTTTATTGTATGTTTAGGGTCGACCCACATTAGCCATGAGAAATCTTCCCAATGTTGCCCAACTTTTGGGACATCTATGCTGCAATGAAGTCCTCAAGATACAAGGTTTGTAAAGTACTGAGCTACTATCAGCAACAGAGACATTTCAATTCATTTTACTATACCTCATAAATATTCATTAGGCAACCACAGCATTTCAGTGGTCCATTCCAGCAACTCAACCATGTGAAAGTTTTTACTATTTCCCCGTGTCTTCGTACGCGCGCATGATGCGCAAAAACCAGGAAGGTACTATCACACACCTGGGTCGCCTTGGATTTGCTCCAGTATTGTGTTAAGTCTTTACCAACGACATATGTGCTTTACGTTTGTACCGTGGAGATCAATGATTGAGATCTCCCCCGGCTTCACCTCGGGAGATCATCCCAATCATCCAACATCTCAGGGTCATTCGTTTTCGCTATTTTCCCACTATTTTAAATAGAGTGGAGTGCTTTTGTCGGATGCAAGCCTGTGACACATAACCATGGCTGGCAGTTTAGTAAACAAATGTCACATCACCTGTGAACAGATGTACATGTATTAGAATTCACCATAGATTCTCTTTTTCATTTTCATACCTAGAAACTGACTATCAGCTGGTGATGCAGTGTGTGATGGCACTCTACGTTGCTCAGCCTAATGAACCGCTGGAGGAGAAGGCTAGCAAGTGGGCTCAGGTAAACAAGTATCACAGATTTTAACTCTGAAACCACGGCAAGGTTGTAATCCATCCATCACAAGTCCATCACGAGTTGATCACGTGCCATTCATTCACAAGTTTATTCAAATGAAACACGACAAAGGCATTCCTTTGTCACTGTTTGTCCCCTGTTACTTGTGACATCACTTATGATTGACTTGTGATTTGACTTGTGATGGCTTGTCAGACTTCACTTTTGATAGGCTTACCTACAATTCTGATTCCATTATGTAATGCATCAACCACAATTTAAACTGTTCAAAACTTCCGTGGTGAAATGTCGTGAAAATCAATCCGTAATGCAACCGTGGGACATTTGTAGGACAACGGTACTGATTCGTAGTGTTAGTTGTGGCTATTCATACATATTCTTGGAGATTCGTAGCTCATTTGTGGTAGAAATCTCTATGAATTCGCTACGAATGTCCTAGGATATGCCTGGATGTGCTGGGGTTCTGCTAAGTTTGTACTATGAATATCCATGCTTTATTCGTAGGAGAACCTTGGTTATCCGTGGCCCAATCGCAGACAACTGTGGCGTTAACGTCATTATTCTTATTAATGCATGTACCGTCGATATTCTTCCCCTATCCGTCCATATTCTTGACAAAATCGTTGTGTATTCGTAGAGAAACCGAAGGACAGTCATGGCTATTCGTCCTGAAACCGTAGTGCATTCTTAGAAAGTTGATTTCTCCACGAATCTCGATGGTTCATCGTGATCGATTGATTCTTGATAAACCGTGGATATTCGTAGCTTCAAACCATAAATGTGTGACTGGGGCTTTACTCTCCTCATTCTTTTCACCACGTTTAATCTTCCAACCATGTTTTTTTTTTCCATTCATTTCTCGAAAGTCTCAAGTCAGGCACAGTGTATCATACTACAAAGAGAGGAATCCTTGCAGAGGCGTGGCAGATTCCATTGGCTGCTCTTCGAGTGGGTTCAATCAAACAGCATCCCTCAAGGTACTTGCACATGGATGGTGCAGGTCCAACCCCCCCCCCCTTAAATTTTTTTATACCAAAAATTCAAGTCACCGATTTCCGTCAAAAATTCGAGTCAAAAATTTGAGTCATCGATATCAGGAGTCAAATTTTTTTGAGAGTGACTAAAATTGACAGCATTTCTGAAAATGAGGTCCTGCTCAATTTCATTTCAAAAATTGTATGAACACTCCTTGTTGAAATTTCAAGTTAAGAACTGCACCAGGGAATAGTTTGATTGCGGTACCCGCTGCTACATTTACATTGGTTTCGAACCAGCCAACCCATCCCGCAAGCTCGGTGGTCGAGTGGTAACTTAGACGTCTGCACTAGAAAGCAGGAGGTCATGGGTTCGAGTCCCACTGGACTCATTTTTTCCAACTTTTACTCTGGAGGTATTCACACTGAGTACGTGTATATACAGTGTTTATAGGTTGGAGAAGGGCAAAAAGCTAATATTGATGCACCATTGAAGTAGATCTTGTTTTTTTTTGGATAAATGTCTGTAAAAACTAACATTGTAATTCAGTCCTTATTGCAAGATACGGCATAGAATGATGGGACCAAGACATGCCATTGCACATTTAATCTCTTGCTAAGTATTGTTTTAATTGTTTTTCATCCCATCAGTTGCTGGAATCAATGGTGGAAGATTTGAATAAAATACCAACTACCCGCTGGAATTCCTCAGCAAAGTAAGTCACTACCTTACCTGTTTCTTCTACTGACCTATTTATTAACATTACGAAGTGCTCGTTTGTATCTTGGAAATCATGCATTTCATTTACTCCTGCTTCCAACTGGCGTTTCAGAGTAACGCCAAACAAAAGCATTTCTAAGATTTGTATTATGAAAAGTGAAAACACGTAAAATGTGTCAATGTCAAAAGATCGATATAGTTGTAGTCATTTGGAACAATTCCACTGCGTCTTGATTTTAGACATTCTTCAACGGCAATAGAGAACCAAGTCAATTGAAACCAACTTCTAACTTTGGTTTACCCGAGTTGCTCCTATACTTTGAGCTTCCCACATCTCTGAAATAGATGTTTGAATGCTTTAAATAAGTTCAAAAATTTGATCACGTTTTCGAGCAAGCCTTGAACCTAGTCATTTACTGATTTGTATCTCGTATTTTCTTTCACCAGTTGCCTGGTTCCTTGCGCCCAGCTGTCCAGCAACACATTGAGAGACCTTTCTGAGCTCTGCCTTCCACTGGTCACCAGTGACAAAGATGTGTTGCCACTGGTTGAAACTTTGCTGAGTTGCCATAGGAACAGTACAGCAGAAGCCCTGAGCCCAGCCTTTCTCGAAGCTGTTACGAACAACCAGTGCTGTGAGTACAGTTCATATCTACTTGGAGCCTGATCTTCTGTCAGTTGATGTATCTATTTTGCAGGCATGCAACTGGGAATTTAGAAGAAAAAAAACGAGGAAATTCCAAACCACACAAGACTTTGTGCCGTGTTTTTCAATGAGAAGAAAAAACAGCGGATCCGAGGAGAAGTTGCATGCCTTATTTTTGATTGGAGACGGTCCTCTCTCTTCTGAAATTACATTTTTAAACATTTTCTCTTCCTTTGTTGTTTTTTCTTTTACCTTCAGATACAAGCTTCTAACTTTTTTCCTGTTGCATTTGTTGTTATCATTGCCAATATCTTGAAGTAAAATATACCTGAAAATCCTCGTCAATTAGCATCGTTTGGTGTGAAGTTCTAAGGTTTTTTTAGATTATAGAGTTTGACTAACTTGCTTTATTTTATTTCATAAGGAACGCAAACACTTTTCATTTTTACAGATAAAACTTAAGAATTTGTTATTCCAAAATGAAAATTCTAGATGTTACATTTGAAAAACAAGTTGTTCTAGTTTGACACCAAACATTCCTCACTCAACGATTCAAACTTTCCTGCTCTGAAGTCCATTACGATTTATTAAAACAAAATAAAAAACTGTTTCCGGCGTTCAGATTTTTTTCTCTTTCGAACAGCTCTGGAGTTGAGCTATGAAGGTCGAGTCTCCCTGTGGACCAGATATCTGCCAGCATTGGAGAGGGAGTTTTTGCATCTTGTTCAGGCTCTGGTCCCCCTGTTACCTTCATCAGAACTCAGAGCCAAAGAGTTGATGCAAAGCAGAGATTTAGTGAGTACTATCAAGAACCCTTCAAAATGCTTCATTATTTGCCGCTGATTATACAAATAATGAATGTTTTTTAGTGCAATAGTAAGAACAATTTCAGGAGGTGACAGATGCAATGTGGAATGGAATATTCCCATCTGTCACCAAATGAAATCATCCTTTCCATTGCATGAATGTAAAACATTTATTATTATTTTTTTTTTTTTTTATGAGGGAAACAAAATCCCTGTCATCTGATTGGTTATAGCGCCACCAACAGTGTGACTGTGCAATGTAGTCTGGTTCCCTGGCCCCATTGTTCTTCGGACTTCAAAAATGGGGTCTGGTAACTAGCACTGAGTCTTATGCAAATTATATGCATGACTTCAATAGGTCTGAATCCTGCCTCTCACAACGGTAATGTTTGCCAGCAACCAGCCTATTGCAAAATGCCAATAGCCTGGCCACAAATTTGGAATTTTGGACGTAATGAGCTTCGAGTTTTGCTGAATTTGAAAGTATCTCTGGCAAATATCAATAAAGAGAGAAATATTGCTGTTCAATATTTACAACCTATGCAGTTGAAATGCTTGAAAGTTGCTTTCATGGAATGGTGATTTTGTATACAATTTTGTGGTAAGATAAGCGTGAGTTTCTTGATAATCGAATCGTGTGGCGTCCATACACAATTGAACGCGATTCAAAAATAAACAATCACGCACATGCAGAGGCGATCCAATCAAGGGCTTTAAATGGGTGCTAGTTACTGGTCCTCTAATTTTTAGGGGGGGGGGATGGGAAACAGTCTACGTGCAATGGAACATCTATTTACCATGGAATGGAACTTTTTATCTATGAATGAGGACTTTTTCCATGCCTGGTATTAAAATGAAAGCTAACGAAAGCTAACGTGCTTGTATTTATTGTGTATAGAGGTTTCTTTTGTTGACAATACAAGTTTGGTCATTCGCATATCATTGCAGCCCAGGGCCTGTGTTGAGAACCCATCTCTGTTGTCTGGTGTGGAGACATTGATGGAGTTACTGCTACAACACACCAAGGGGAGTGCCTTCACACTGTCACTGATGGGCTTATTCAGGAGATGTGTAAGAGAGAGCCGGGGTACCATACCTCCGTCCCATCAGTGTCTTAATAGGAGGCCTGCCTCGGACAGCCTGCGCAACTTGTTGGAAGCAGACCCGCAAGGTAACTCTGCAATTGTCAGTCTGATTGAAACTGACAGTGTTTTTTTCCCATGGAAACTTGTTTTAGGGATTTTTGTTATCTCTGGCCAGGGGGGTTTCTAGACCAGTTTGAAGAGGGTGGATGATGTGACAACCAAATTGCAGACAGACCACTCTGTGTTGGAAGGTAGCCATTGGGGGGACTTGAGACTGACTTGATGTACACTGTACATGTACTTGTGATTGACTTTGTGATTGACTTGTGATGGACGTGTGGTGTACTTGGGGTGGACTTGTGATTGACTTGGGATGGACTTGCAATGGACTTGGGGTGGGCTTGGGATGTACTTGTGATTGACTTTGTGATTGATTTGTGATGGACTTGGGATGTACTTCAGATGGACTTGGGATTATTTCGGGATGGACTTGTGATAGACTTGGGATGGACTTGGGATGGACTTTGTGACTGGCTTCGTGATTGACTTAGGATGGACTTGGGGTGGACTTGTGATTGACCATGTCGACTTGTGATTCAACTGTGTTTCACGTATAATGGATTTTACAACTCTGACACCTTCTTGAATTGCACGATCTCTCCACACAGAATTACCGACCAACCTTCTGGTCCTACACATCAACAACCTTAGCAACTGCCTGACCCAGCAGGCAACGAACCCTGCCGGCAGCTTACGAGCCTGGCTCTTACTGGTCAGCTCTCAAGCGTGGTACCGGGCAGTCTTGAAGACGACTCTGCTTGGTCCTGCAAACACTACACCGGCATGTCTTAATGTTCTCGCCTGGTACAACTTGCCACTGGCTCCAGACAGACATCAGGAGTACAAGGTAGGAGAAGATGTACTTGGATTTTGGGCGGCAGAGTATGAAATGAAACACAAAGAGTACTTGGCAAAATGTAGTAACACAATCAAACCTTTCTGGTGAACATGGTGAATTGGTGATATTCTTACTGGCAAACATTTCCCTCCTTCCCCCGCGGGTCTGTAAATTATCAGTATATAAGGGAAGATCATTTTGGAAATCACGGTGATTGCTCCTACATTTAAATAAAACTAACTTCTTTTGCGACCTCCGAGATTTGGGATTTTGAATTCTGGTACGTATTCAGCTTTTCATTCATCACTCCATGAAGATGAGTGAATGCCCAAACTCTGTTATTTCCATTAATGCTGGTACATAATTTCCGTGCCTGCTTTTCTTGTCCTACTTATGTTTGAAGCAAATTTAATTGAATTGATTTATTTCAGGATCATCTGAGTGATGTGATAACCTCGGTTCAAGGTCTCTGCAGCAAGACTGTTCTGCAACCGCAGGACCTGCAGTACGCATTCAGCTCCTTCCGCGACCAACGGCACGGCAGTCCCTTACGCAACGTCTTCAGACCTCTACTGATGCTCTTCGTAGTGTACGGGAATGTAACGCACCACATTTTGCAAGACATTGTTGGAAAGGTACAAAGCTCGGCCCAATTTCATTGAGTTCAATTTCATGCCGATTACTAATTCGAAATTTGTTGCAGTGACGATCACGATTCCCTGTCAACAGCATTATTGCAGAAATTCTACATATGTGAGGCGTTCTGGCAAACTGAGACGGAACTGGGCACAGGCTGTAGTGCGGACATGCCAAAAACCGAATGGGGTGATTTTTTTTTGATTTTCAGATTTAGTGATATTTGTATTCGTTGATATGTCTACTACACATATTTTAAATAAAGAGTATAAAAGCGTGGAATAAAAGTGTTTTTAAGGTAAAACAATTGCTATGTTTCATTTTCACAACTGCGAAACTTGAAACTTTGAAGGCCTTTTTCTCAGCATTTTACTTTTTGACATGTCGATAAATGCAAACTTTAAACACCCATAACTTGTCAATGGAATATCCGACTGAAGCGCAACAAACAGTATTGTAAGGAGAATTTTATTCCCTCTCCTAATACCTGCAAACCCTTATTTCAACCTCTGCCCAGCTGTGTCTAATTTTGCCAAAACGCCACACAGATATATGTGCATGTCAGTCTGTAAACGCGGGGTCCACTTTTTTTCCCTATCCCTGTTACATCATATATCTATGATTTATATTTTTGGATGCACTCCTTATTGCAGTCATCTTCCCAGAGTGGTTAAGAATAGAGAACTACATGTACCTACATGTACCTAACAAAAAAATTGTTTGAAGCCATTCTAAATACTTGAGTCATATGTCAAATTACAAAGTACCTAGGTAACAGGGACAGGACAAATGTCACACTTTGACTCTTAATTACTGAATGACCCTAAACCTGTAGAGGTACAGAATCCTTGGTTACAGGATGCATGAATGCTTGTTTTAAATTTGCTTTAATTGTCAGTACCAAATTTTCTATTACAACTGAGCCCTAAATTTGCCCTTGTTCTAACACGCCTTCATTCCATGTGTATCATTTGTGATCAAAACATTTGAAACCCCCCCCCCTCGCCAAAAAAAAAAAAAAAAAGATAAAAAGTGAGAAACTAAAGGCTGTTTTCATGGCGCTGCTAAGAACAGAAACAAATTCAATGACATTTCGGTTTTGGAAGTAAATGTATCTCAAGATCAAGAAATTTTAGCAAATGTTAAGAAAAGGCACGAGATTGACCTCAGGATTGGTGATAACTTGACATGGAATGATCCCCTTCATGTTCAAATTTTAAAGGAATTTACATAATATGGTTATACATGTATGTGTTTGCAGGCTATTGGTGAAAATCAACCAAGTTGTCTGGCCAAGTTCACATTCCTACTGGACAGTATTGAATTCGCCCTATCGAAAGACGGATCACATAGTCAAAAAGAGCACACACAACAACCCTCCGGTTACCAGAGAAGGAGCGCTACTCACGCCCTGCTCTTGTGTGGGGTTTGTGCAGAGTACCAGCGAGAACGGTCGGTCGGAGCCGTGAGGTTGCCGGAGGACTTGCATCAGAACTTGATGGGTAGATACAACAGAATACAGAAGCTGGCAGAAATTATGTAAACCAAAATAAATTGCCAAAAAATAAACTTATTTTTGAAGACTAATGCCTGTTTCTTTTCATTCGTTGTTGTCTTCATGTTGCAACATCGTGTCAAGACAAAAATTACTACCTGTATTTGACCTTTCCTTGCATAAATTTTCACATCCTCCAAATACTAAAGCTTTAACTTATAACCCAATATTAGCCTGTTATACAATGCCTCAATAAATCCCCATCAGATGATTTGTGAGTCGTTGATCATATGTCTTTGAAATATTCGTGGCAAAAATAGACGTTCCATTTCACGGTAAATAAATCTTTCATTCCAGGGTCACACTATTAGTTGCGTTATAACACAGCCCTGGTGGCTCTGATGCTGAATATTCATAATACCAGTTTACAAGTTAACCAATCGGATGATGAGTATTTAGTCAGGTCTTGCATAAAACAACTAATGAACGTTTGACATTTGTGCAATGGAAAGAATAATTTCATTCTGTGACAGATGGAATGTTCCATTCCACTTAACTTTGCCTCGTGGAATGGAACATTCCACCTGTCACCTCTTAAAGTTTGTCTTACCATTGCACATATAAATATTCATTATTTGTTTATTAAAATACTAGGTTATATAATCCATACATTTTTGTATTTTTGTATTTATATGTAAGTGCACATTTAAAGTTAATAGAATTCAACATTTTATCACTTACTTTCAAAATTTACACATAATTGACTGATTGGCACAAAGTTGAACACTGAACTGATCGTTTACAGCTACTAAAGTTACTCACGTTATAAATGTTTCCAATGGATAATGCAATTAAGAAAAAAAGAAGCGTACACCATTCATGCTTTCTAGACATTTTGTATTATTTATTTCCTCATTTGTAGCATAATTATACACAGGCTTTGCCATCATACTTGGTATTAAGTACACAAAACGACACCAATCATATTTACTCCTACATGTATTGTTTACAATCACAGGACGACAAATATTGTATCTGGTTCGATGCTGTTTTTTTGTTTTTTTATTTCTACGTCTTTTCAACACACACACACGCACAAAGGCAACACACGTTAAAACTGGTAAAGTCTATTGCAGCACATCGTCGGGAATGTCTGTCAACAGAGAAATGAACTTCTACATGTTTCTTCCTCCTACGGTCGGTCACGGCATTTTTTTTTGTTTTTATGTACACACATGCGTCTACTAAGTGTCTGCAGTACTAAAATGTTCTACAACACGACAATTTCACTTTTTTTTGTATTCACAAGATGCATTTCGAAATGGTAAATATGACATCACAACAAACAATTCGTTCTGTACATAAGTAATAAAAACACCACAACAACATTCCAATGTGTTTGTTATTTATACATCATAACTCGTTTTATTTTTTTATTTTTTTTAGCAAGCAACAGAAACAATCAGTCGTCACCGTACTACGTCGATAAATAAAATATATTTAGGCAAGTGGCACGTTCGTGGCCGGATTCATATAAGATCTAAATTACATTTAGTTCACAATAAATCTAAAAAATTACGACGGATCGACTCCAAGATTTCATTACCTTTTAAAATGGATTAAACGCATAAATTAACACACATTACCAAAACAAAATGTCAATTGTGTCATCCTGCAAGTGCCCTTCTTTCAACCATCATTCATGGAAAATATATACTCTTTACTTTGGAAGAAAGTACATGTACTTAATTTTCAAAAATCGCAATATGCAAACGACATCAAATTATCATAATGACTTGCCCATATCCGGGAAAACCATTCCATTCTTTGTCTAAAAAGCCAGCGCACCAAATGTGTAAAATTGAAAAAAAAAAAATAACAAAAAAAAATATTTACAAAATTGCCAAAAATACAGTGAAAACAATTGCAATAAATTTACTTGAAGTCTAAGTGGTTATTTCCAAACTTCAAAAAGCTCTTAAAAGTGTCATTCACATTGTTTTTTTTTTCCTCACAATTTTACATTACTCCATTTTTGAAGCACAAACGTTCCTTGTACATGTTAACATGCTATTTTTTTTTGGTTGAATTTCCTAATTCTAAAGCCAACACTAGTCACTACTAAATAACTTTGACCCTTCTTGACCTGAATGTGCATTTTGCAGGCGGAGCCAAGATAAAAGATAGGGGAGCGGCAAATATGGCTCATGTCGGAGTCCATACTTTTGAAATTCAATGCACAAAAATATTAACAGTATGAAACTTTTAAGCGTGCAAACTTGGCAGGCTAACTGTGTACCACGTTCACTATTAAAATGAAAAGACGCTTTTATGTTTTGGGACTTGCCTAAACATTTGGCGATGATGTACAAGCAGGAAAAGTCACTTTACCGGTACGTGTTTTGAATCATCTACCATACATGTAAATAGTTTGCTAAGATACCATCTTGAATATCAGCAAAATAATTTTGTGGAAAAACACAGGGTTTTTATTTGCAAAAGCCGTTTTTAACCCGAACTTGTAAAAAATAGAGGCGCCCTAATTAATTACACGGTTACCCTTGGGAGATTGCTTAAAGTTAAAAAAACAGAAATACATGCACATGTATGTGTAAAGTTTTATACATGTACCGGTAGCTACGGTAAGTGCACCGCACTAAAGGGAAAGAAAATTATGACCAGGCAATTTCAATTTTAACCGATTTATGTACACAATGTATCACAATTACAATGAATACTTGTACATGTACATTGTACACGTACATGTAAGATAATCCAAACTAATGCCATCCTTCCAAACTATTGTAACCAACAACTTTTCAGAAAAACAGCACGTGTATGCACGCCCAGGGCATGTTAATTATGCAGGAATAACTATTCCTTTTAATTTCGGCCGCAACATGTACATGTACATGTACATGTACATGTACATGTACATGTACAGGTGTGTAAAGCAAAGCTACATTGTACATGTACATTTACATGTATTTACCGGTAACCCTTCAAATTTCATACCGGTACATGCATTATGCAGAGAAGCCCATAGTCCTAAAAATGTAAGACCAAGAATACAGAATTGGAAAACTAAACTAACTTACTTGTACATGTATGCAGGCTCATTATTAAAGGTAACGTCAAATTTTATAGTTTCTAACAACTTGTGATTATTTTGTAATAAACAGTTAAATTTACTGATTGTCTTCTGAAAATATCGGTAAAATTCCTCTCCTTTAAGTAACAGAATAGATCGTAACCAGGCCAGCAGTTACGTGCAGAAAAGGAACATATCTTTAAAAAATGGGACGGCATTTAACTCTAAGCACTTTCTGTACTAAAAGCTCTTTCATGAATACACAAAAATAGATGCAAAATAATATGGCGTCAGGCTTTCCAAACATACACCGGTATATATGTACAAGTTTGTAAGTTGTTTCAAAACCTACGGGCCACCACACAATTTCATGACTACTTTTTCTTTGTTTTTTTCTTCTTTCTTGCAAGATAATACATGTAATTTCATTTTGAAACTGCTTTAAAAGTGAATACTATTTGTACATGTACATGCAACAGTGTCACCAAAAACATGTAACATGAATAAAAATTGCCACAGTGATTTTATTACTATTTACATAACCATATTGTCAAGTAGTCATTTTACCGTCATTTTATAGAGAGCTAGCCCATGTTGTACAAAACCTGCTTTTGATTTTTTTGATGATTTTGTCCTTCCGGGCTCAAGTCTCAATTCTGGTGCTGAGAAAATCCATTAGATTTTTTTTTTGGGGGGGGGGGTGGTTCACATCAAAATACCTGTATGTATGTGTATTGTGCTCAACTGCATTTGTTTTTCATGCACAAAATACATTTTAATAATAATAATAATACCACAGTCTTATATAGTGCACGTATCTATCAACAATTAGGTGCTCAAGGCGCTGGAAATTACAAAATGTATGTCTCTAATATTAAAGACATGTAAATGAAATAAATAATTTTAGCCAATATGGCAGTAGCAAGCAATGCCCTGTTCAATTTTGTGCAAAGTGAATACATGCACCATTTGAGTTTTTTTTAACTAGATGACTATACATTGAATAAGATTCAAACAAAAGATAACTAAATGCTATTCAGGGGTGTGAGTGACCACTGATAAAAATAGCTGAAAACAGCTGAAGGTGTAGTAAAAAAAGCTGAATTTTGGAAATCTCCTATACTTTTGTACACAGCAAGTGAGGAAAAAAAGCTGAAATCCAAAACAAAAAAAGCTGAAATCAGCTAAAAAGCTGAGATTTCACACCCCTGTGCTATTGTTTCAAATTTGAATAACCAAAAGTGCAAACTTGGGTGTCCACCAACCTTAACACACAACTTTACTTAAGAATACTCTGGAACATGCCAGTTTGCCATCTACGCATAACGCCCATTTCCAATTTTTTTTTTTGCAAGTCTATGCCCACTTGACCCCTTACAGCACAATATGAACTTGATTAAAATTATTTTGAATACAATTATCTGATAAGTTATAATTTCACTGGCACACAATTTTTCTTGTTCTGTTTCACAGAATACATGTCAAAACCTGAGTAAATGGATTGACGCCAAATCTGGAAAATAGACCTGTTCCCTAATTTGAAAATACATGTCCATGTGTGCAATGTACATGTTTACATGTACATTCTAATGCATTTGACATTTTGGGTTGCCTTGTTGGTTCTGAAACCCCATTGCATTGCTAATTAGCATATATACATGTGTACCAGGTGGTACCAGTCTCTTCATTCAAAGTCAGAATCAATGATGGGGAGACTGGGTACCAGTCTAGATAAGATGCATTCTGCTTCATGTATATATTACATACACATTGAAGTACATTCATGTGTACAATGTACCCTACTTGTCATGCTTGTACATGTCCATGGTTTATACATGTATTATACTGACTCTCAGGAGCTCTGAATTTTTTTTCGACATTCAAGACTGGTGTTAAAAAACATGAATTGTAATTACACTGTACCTCACATGGAAGTGTGACACATTTTCAGTCGGTAAAAATTGATCACATGATTTCAGATATTAACTTCAAGTAACTTTGTGCACACTACCGGTACCTCGTACACAAATACGGTAGCAGCCACAATCTGACTTTACGAGCACAGTAAAAACACTCTTTAACATTTCAAATTGAGTCATGCATTTTACTTGAGAATTTATGACGCTTTACATGTAAGTATAAAGAGCTACACATTTAAACCTAAAGACTGTACATGTACTTTATATATTTAAACTTTTTTTGTGTGTGAAAATATTCATCCTCATTTATTAATTGTTTGTTTTTCAAATTAAATTATTTCTTTTCTCAATGTTTTGGCAAGTTTAACATCACAATTTCTAGCTGTAAACAAAAACGATGCTGATACCGGTACGTACTGCATGATCAATAAATTTAGGTTGTCCGGATGCCTTGATGAAATAAAATTGTCTCAGTGCCTCAGAAGTCTTACAATTTCAAATGTTTAAGTACATGTATACATATGAAGAATTGAGGAACACTCAAGGGGGGGGGGGATGGGGGTGGCCTAGTGTTTAGGGTTGTGTTTCATGATCAGAGGGTCAGGGGTTCGAATCCAGCTGCTGGCCATATGTTGTGACCATGGGTATGCCACTTAACCCCCACTTGCCTCTCTCCACCCAGGAGTACTAAAGGGTACCAGCATTAGCTGGGGATGCGGGGTGTGTGTGTGGCCTAGTGGTTAGGGTTGTGACTCATGATCAGAGGTCAGGGGTTCGAATCCAGCTGCTGGCCAAATGTTGTGACCTTGGGTATGCCACTTAACCCCCAGTTGCCTCTCTCCACCCAGGAGTATAAAAAGGTACCGGCATGAGCTGGGGATGCGGGGTGTTTGTGTGGCCTAGTGGTTAGGGTTAGTGACTCCTGATCAGAGGGGCAGGGGTTCGAATCCAGCTGCTGGCCCGTATGTTGTGACCCCAGGCAAGCCGCTTCACCCTCTGGCTGGGCTCATTACAGACAGTCATTACAGACTTGTGCGCAAGTACCCCCTCAACGGTTACAAGGAGAGAGTTGGGAGGGACCACGGACATCACAAATGTTGAGACACTTGTACATGTATGTAGGAGTGTCTGGTACGTGGGTGCGTGAAGCAAAGTGTGCGTTCAGTAAATATGCATGTGTACAGCGCACAATGGCAAAAAAAATTCCTAACAACGTCATGCATGTACATGTACTTGCTCGATTTCTAAAAGACCAATACCATCAACGCTTAAGCACACTTAGCAGAAAAAAATAAATACTAGCTAATTTGCTAGGACACTGTACAGGACAATAAATAGTAATCGCTTGGTTCACGAGGTGAACATACATGTACATGTACAGTATGTTTACATGTAGTACAGTTTTAAAGGGTTGCATTCCATTTCTGTGACGATTGGCTCACAAGTGTTTTGTGCGTGTGTGAACATTTGTTATAGCCTAAAGTTTGCAAAGCACACTTACTGCATGGCAAAACTCCTGCACTGCTCCTACTTGTGTGACCTGACTTGTGATTGGACTTGTGATTGGACTTGTGATTGGCCTTGAGATGGGCTTGACCTTGGGGTTTTCCGAAACCTTTGCTTGTCTCCAGCTTTGGCTACAGGTGTTTTTTTTTTAGGTCCCTGTCTTGGGGAACTCTGGCTTCATGATGGTCCACACTCTTTTTCCGGAACGTCACATCCTGTGCAGCACTGTGGTGCAATAGTTAACACTGTTTGCACCTTGACTAGGGAACACAGTGATTGTGTTCTTGGGCAAGACACCGACTGACATGGGTTGCAATTGCCTCTCTCCACCCAGGAGTATAAATGGGAACCTGACTGCGCTGACCTCGAGCTGCTATAGAAAAATGGTCTCATGGCCTGATGAACAGGAGTAATAATTAGCACTTGGTATCCTTGGGCAAAAGGGTGCTTTGTAAATACCACACAATAGCACGAGACCAACTTTTACAGTGTTTTTATTCGGTTTTCGTTTGAAATTTATTTAAAACCAGACATTATTCCCAAGCTGGACATGAAGCGTGGATTTCCAAAACACCCAAAAGTCTAATTCGTAATAATTTTGTTGAAGAATTTTTACCGTACCCAAGCTGATATGATTCAACAGGGAGATACTTGCAAGTTATCTGAGTCCCAATCGTCTTCTTGCTGCTGCTGCTGCTGCTGCTCTTGTTGCTGCTCTTGCTGCTCCTCCTCCTCTTGCTGCTGCTGGCTAGCTTTCTCGCTGTCCTCGTCGCCGTCTTTGGCTCGCAGCGTCTCGTCCAAGTCGTCGTTGCTATGGTAACAGCTGTCCTCCTCTTGGTTGTCTAGGAGCGGGTCGTTGTCGAGTAAGGGGTCGTGGTCTGGTTCGGGTTCGGGCTCGGGACGTTCTTCTTCCTCCAGGAGCTCCTGTTGCTCTTTGAGGTCCTGCTGCATCTTGGCAAAGTTTTCTGCGAAATAAGAAAAAAAAACCCAAAAAACATACTCTCATGGTTATTATCCCCACAACTCAACATGTCATCAAGCATGAACGTTATCAGGAACACGTCAGGTATGTTTCATACTCATGCAAAAGCAAATTTGAAACAGACTTTGGGGGATTTATTCCACCCCTCCCCCTCCCCCCCCCCCGAAAAAAAGAGGAATTTCTGGGGAAAAAAAGGGTAAAGGTTTGTTCAATTACATGAGGTTTCCACTCACTTCAGCCTTCCGGTTTGGCACAGCCCCACTTAGCCCCACAACAGCATCGCAATGGTGCACTGAACATGCAACATGTACCAAGCATACATGTACGATACATGCGTAAAGAGGAAGTACAATGTATACTTAACTGGAACGCAAACTGCAAGACTGCTATAACCAAATCTAATGCATCATCAAGTGTGGGTTGTGCAAGATTCCGTAACTTTTCAATGACTTTTTTCTTGGAAAAACAACTTTCCGTGACTCCTTATAAAATTTTAAAAATCCATATGACTTTTCCATGACTTTTCCATGATAACTTTAAATTCCCGGATTTTTAAGGATTTCTCCATGACTGCGGGAAACCTGTGTTATGCTCACCCCTTTTGCCCGGCCACAACTCCACCATCGTTTGCAGTACATCAATGTGCCTCTCATAGTCGGCGTCTTTGCCTGTCGCCACCTCCCGACAGAGGGCGGTGTTGCTGCCGCAGGAGGCGGCGCTCATCAGCACGGGGCCGAAGCAGACGGCGATGTTGTAAGCGTTCATCTTGTTGGCCTCCGAGTGCACCATGATGAGCTTCAAGTGGTCCATGATGTAGGAACCAGTTGTCTGAAAGAAAGGAAAAACGATACACGTTGTTACAGTATAATAATAATAATAATTTGGGAGGCTAATCATCAGCTGGTATGCTGAATTGCGAAGGACGCGGCTACAACGTGGTCGGGCCGCTGGCACGTGAAGGCGCCTATGGCTGCCAGCCACATCGACCCATATACATGTACATGTATGACCACGGAGCACAGCCTGAGATCGAAAGTGTTTGATTTTGGAAATAAAGAGTGCTACTGACAAAATCATATTTTGTGATCAAAAGGTTGTGCAAGGTTTTTCACTGTTTTCTCGAAAAAGTTAAACTTCAACAGGTTAGGTTTTGAACATACTTCTTTGGATTTTGAGTGGTGCAGGAAAAGCCAATGATCCTGAATACCTTTAAGCACTCTATTTTGTGGTGAGTGGTGACAGATTGTAACTGTGACATCATTTACTTCAATTTCCATCTAGCACGCATTTGTATCACAAAAGGTGTTAGGTGTAGCACAGTGTGTGACGAGGACGTGTAGAGTGCACCAATGAAATTTCACTTCGTGTTATAAGCAAGAGAACTCATAGTACCGGTAATCAGGTTAAAAAACTTACAAACGTCTCTTTGTGTTGGCAGAATACATGTGTGTCACAAAATTAAATCATTTGACTGTTTGGCACAATATAACCAAATAATTGTTGACTGAGACTGTGATGCGGGACATGTGTTTTAAACCTTTGTAGACTAACATGTTCGGCACCCTTCACCAGCGCCTCAAGAGCAGGAAACCATTTCTGAGAGCTGCTCAACCACATACATGTACATTGTATCAATGCGAGCACTCAGCCAAACAGACAGCAATGGCTCCTCGCCGAATGGAGGAGGACCCAGCCCGGAGGAAGACTGACAACCATGCAACCAGTCTCAACATCCCCATCTGGAAGGAACCTCCCCTGCAAGGAATGGCGCCGCCTCAACCGGCTCCGGACTGGAGTAGGACGGTTCAATGCCTGTATGCATGCATGGAACCTGGCAGGCTCATACAGGTGCGAGTGTGGCGAGCCGCAGACAGACCACCTCATCATGGACTGCCCCATCCACCACCTACAATGAAGGAGGAGGCTGGGACTCCCTCGATGAGCTCACTCCTGCAGCAAAGATCTGGCTCAAGAAAGCTACCTTTCCCAGCTAGGAAGACCACACGCAAGAAGAAGAAGCACCCTTCACTTTGTCCTAAAGTGTCATGCATCCCGGAGTATGAATAAAATACCATGCCCCACAGGCCACAGCACAGCAGTCAACAATTGTTGACTGTTACAATCCTTACTATAATTCCAGGAATCTCTGTCTGTCTGTCTGTCTGTCTGTTCTGACCATACCCCCCTTGTGGGGTGATGTTCCTTTCAGGTCACATCACCCCACTATTTTCACAATAGAAAAACATCACCCCAGAAGAGAATCTTTAGAAAAAGGGATAATGGGAACACAATGCTATCACCCCACAATTCCGTCTGGCTGGAGCGTCCGTCTGTCTGTCCGTCGATTATCTCCAGAACCGGGCACCGTATGAAGTTGAAGTTTGGCAGGCATACTGCTCGGGACACCAGAATGTGCAGTGCCAAGTTTAAAGTTGTTTGGACGAGCGGTTCTCGAAAAAGTTGCAAAAAAGCAATATTTTCTGAGGCCTGACGTGGCAGTACATGTATATACAATGTAGCTTAGAACATAACACCACGCACTGCCGTTCTTTTCAATTGTTTACGTCATGTAAAGCTAAAGCGCGCGTGCTCAATATGACGCAAACAATGCAAAAAAGACACGGGCACGCGCACGTGTACTGTAGGGCAATACCATTGTCATGGATGAAAGGCACAGCATACCATGTTTCCGTATGTACACGTACGTGGTGGCTGCACGGGCACATTATTTTTGCAGTCGACTGAGCGACCATTGTAGGCGGTCGAACTTCAAACTTGGCACAAACTTTGACGTGAGTGTGCGTTCAACCTGTGAAAACAACAGCATTGAATCGCGTGTGTTGTTTGCACGAGCAGTACTCAAAAACTCTGCAAGTATGCAACCTTCAGCGGCAAAGCAATTTGTGCTTCCCGAACATGCACATTTTAGACGGGCACTGCACTAGTGTATACAATGCACAAACAACATGAACAAGGTAAAACACACGCACAGCGCATGTGACGGTTTACATGTAACCTTGCTTACAGTTTGCATACCGAACAAATAGTTCTCCTTTTTTTCCAGACTTTCTTTTAAGTGTAATGACATCAACATACATACAATGTATGTACATGTAACTGTACACGGATGACACGTGTACTGATTATTCTCCAACAAAAAGACACAGTTGGCAAATTCATCTTAAAATTCCAAACAAGCAGCCACTGCACTTCCAGACCCTTGTGTTTAGCAAATACAATGTATCTGGATGACCCAGAAAATAAAAATTAAAAAAACTGACAGTAGCGTCTGGCTTGTAACTTCTACTGAGTGTGTACACAACATGTGCAGGATGTCAAGTGCCCTCGTCAATTAAAAACTAGGCCAAGTGGGCTTGTTGTTATATCAATATGCCAGGCATTGCCAAACAGGTTCATTATCGTATCTCCGTTCTTGGAGGTTTCAGCTTTTGGTCTCCGCACCAACTGTGAAGTACATTCGGATGAAGCTGGTTTTTTTTGTCAGACAGTACGTTCGTGGAAAATGTTCTCTTAAAAAAATGCCACGACGGTAACAGTTTTACGGGCTTTATTGTTGGGAGACTTTAAACTGAGCTGTGGGGAGCTTATCGTACGATTTGTGTGTGGTCTCTGCATTTCAGTATCACAAATGTGTGTCATGTACACATAAGGATCAACTTCAAACATGTCAAAGGATATAAACTTTGAATTTATACAAAATCAACCCAATAAAAATTAAAAAAAAAAAAAAAAAAAATACAGGGAGGGAGAGGGGCAATATGGGGTCATCCCTCCAATAAAAAGATGTTTTTTTTTTAAATAATTTGAATTAAACCTAACCTACTTGAGTGATTTACTAGGAAGCTTCCTCACTCTTGCGAAATCCGAACTGTTGGACTCTGATTACGGTGGCGTGCCTGGCCCTATGTAAAGCATTTCAGTTTATTAGTGCAGTACTCACTCCAACAGAATGGAGCAAAGCATGCAGTTGGATTTTGAAGGGGTGGGGTGGTTAGGGTTAAAGAAAGACAAGAAAACTGAAAGAAGACTGTCCCCTAGCGTCAAACGAGGTTCAACCAAATTTTAGCAAGGCAGCATGAGATTTTAGTGGGGTGCCCCACCCTCCTAAATCCCTCGCGGAAAATACTGCAAATATAATTTTACAGGATGAATGTTCATGAGTCTTTTGAAGAACCTTCTTTACCTTATTGGCTGGTGGAAGCGACTCGATCATTTTGACCAGTTGTTCCCCGTCGTCGGTCGGATCCCTGGTCTGGTTGCCGAAAGTGTCCATGAAGCGCTGGCACATCTTACTGGTGAAGAGTGGCTCCGGAAGCTCGCGAAGATAGTCCTTCAGGACACCTAGAAATCATAAGAATCAAATCACCCAATCGGATCAACATGTTTCTCTAACAAACAACAATGTTTTCTGTGTTCAAGTTTTGAGCACAAAATGTTCAAAAAATCTACATGTTCATACTGTACACAACATGTAGAAGCAACAAGTATCGTTTATAGGAACTTGTTAATACTACACTATGTATATGTTGCAAAATTGTTTTTTGTTTTTAAATGGTCAAACTTTTTTTCAGTGATAAAAAAAGTGAGAAGATCCAAGGTATGAAACACATAATGATACATTTAATGGATTTTAAGTTCTGATGGTTGAAATGCAACATTTTGTTTTCTCACGTGGGAGAAATAGAGGTTAAATCTTTGCCTTGTTAATACATAAATGTTGGCAATTCTGGCATTTTTTCAAATCCTACACATCCATCATCTAGTAGGCCCTAATGGTCAAGGAGATTACAGACCAGGAGTTTTGGATCATTTCTCTCAAAATCATGTTAATCATTAATTAAATATCATGGTTAATTGGCTCTGTCACAGACATTACAGCTCCTTTCATAATGCTGGAATTGCTTTCTGTAATACATGTACCGGTACAGTACATGTACCGGTATTATGGAAAGCTTATAAATCCCGGTACATACCATTATTTCGTTTTACCGTTTTGGATTTCCTCAAAAACAAAAACAGTAAACGAAACATTGATTGTTTTGTCGTTTTACAGTTTTGTAAACAGTCAAATGGGATTAAGTGACAAATTTTTTTTTTTTTTTTTTTTATTGTAAAAAGCGACAAACTGTTAGTTGCTTTATTTTTAGAGTGTTGTTTTACAAAAACATGACAATGACAAAACGGTCAAAAGTCTTGTCGACCATTTTTTGATTCAGGTTCGGCAATTAAGCAATGCACCTTGGAATGTTAATGTGTCCTGGCCTCGGGATCGAGTATGATGCCTGGGCCGGGGACCCAAATTGCCCTCCTTGTATTTATGTCGTTTCACGACAGAATTTATGAATATTGGCTATTGAAGAGCAGCGCTGAACTCCAATTTCCTTCAAAATATCTGCAACTTCTTATACGTCTTACCATCCTGTATCCATTGTGAAATGTCCTCCTTGAAATTTTCCAGCGCCATTTTTGCTTGCAACTCTAGCCCCACCGAATGAATCTCAGTAGATGGGGGTCAGGGTCACGCAAGGAATCACACCACGCTTTAATTATGACGAGGTAACACTTCTTCGTGCGCGGCATGGTCCCCCTCCACCCCCCTTGCCCACCGCCACAAAATGCACTACGGACTGTTAGGCCCTAACTATGACACTGAATAAATAAAAAAAAAACCAGTCTGCATTCAATACTGACCATTCTGCTGTTTTTCAAAGTTATTTAAGTGTAAAACTGTAAAACAAAAATCATTGATCGTTATGCTGTAATGAATTTTACTAAACTGATAAAACGGATTAACCGTATTTATCTTAATACCATTTGACCGTTTTAAAAACTGTAAAACGACAAAACAGTCAATTGGTTCGTTTAGTGTTTTTGTTTTTTGAGGAAATCCAAACGGTGAAACGAAATAACGGTATGTACCGGGATTCTTATAGCAATGCATTCAGTGTACAATGTGTGTGTACATGTACATGAAAAGTGTATGCGTCAATTAGTATCTCGTGTGTTTTTTCAAACTGCATGTAATGTCAATTGGCATTCTGATGGAAACATGTACACACGAACACATAAAAAGTGTACTTTAAATTCATCGACAGGATACAATGTAGAATAGTAATACAGTGACACAAATAATCGAGTCTGATTGATCGGAATCAGACAAGAACCATTGTCAGCAGTAAAGCCACAACAGATGTGTCAGAAATAGGCTTCAAGCTACAAAACCTTGGACTGCAGAAAAATGTATTGTGCAGCATGGCCACGCCTCCAGGCTTAAAAAAAAAGAAAAGAAATAAAGTACCATAATTCACCACAGTTCCCTCCAGTCAATACACGCACCTAATGCCCACCTCTCAAATGCGTTGGTAATATACCGGTATGCTTGGCTTTCATTGGCCTAGTCTCCTTTCAACATAGCCCGCCAATCCAATCGGGTCAAATCTGGCTAGCAGCAATCTCGAGGATCGTATTTTCACCCAAGCCGTCGGGTATTTCTGTTTGGGCCGGTAAAAACCTGTTATTTTTCCCACCGTTTTTTTTTCACCGCACTCTACAATAATGCGAAGACTGGCAAGGCTCGGATTTTACTCCCTCGAGACTGGGAGGTGAATGCCACTTTCGGTTTCCCGGCAAACTACACATGTAGTTACAATGTAGATGTGCAGACGATGCCTATAACTTGAGCTGAGATTTCACACGCCAAGCATGCAGGGAAATTCCAATGGCGATTAACCACGCATTTGGGCCTCAATGTATTTGTAACTTAATTTCCAGCACTGCAAGTTTTGAAAAGTTAGAATCCTGGAATGTAGGCCTATGTATCATGCAGATGAAATTATGAACTACTGTTAGAGAACGCCTAGTTTCACGTTCATGTAGTAGGCCTATTCTTTTCCAATACACAGACTTTAAGATAATGTGCAATGGAATTGATTCATTCAAATCCTTGAGTTGCACCCAGCTGTGTCCCATTTAATGTGTATTTCCTACCATTGTGTTACCATTTTTTATGGGTGATTCGGGCCTAGTTTGTGTACTGATTCAACGCCAAAAAAACAAGGTAGCACAATTGCTTTTTGTTGCGGTCAGTTCTCTCTAACATCTTTTCGGTTTTGTGTTTGGCGAAAATGTTTGTAACATGTGTACACGTACGTACATGTATACTATGTGCAAGTCTGGAAGTAAACTGTAAAGCTGCAGTGAGCTGTTTGTTCATAATTTCTTCAAAAACATTCCTTGTCCCAAATTATGTAACAAAATGCAACACAGGTTAAATTGTCCACGAAGACACTGTCCAGCCTAGGGTTATGGTGCGTGTGCCATTGGGCAAGTACCTTGTCACTCATCGCTTCTCTCCACCCCGGAGTGGTTATTATGATTGGTTATTATGGTTATTATGATTGATTTTAGCTGCTTTGCGCCAAAATGGCAGCATCCAGATACATACAAATTTGTACAAATGTATTTTATAGGCCTACTCCCTAGGGATCTGATATTGCCTTTGGAATGTTTCAATGGCCCAATGAGCAGGGTAATAATGATGTAAAGTCTTGGGCACCATTACTGGTGGATACACGTGTTTAAAAATACACATTATTACACTGAACATGTAGCCTATATATATCACAATGCAACAATTCACTGTTGGATTTTGTTGCATTCTGAAGGGTTCTCCATCTTTGTTGCAATTTGTTGCATTTTGTTCCATTTAGCAGCTAGAGAAAACCTTATAAAGACTACAGTTTCAAGACTTGAAATATTATCACATTACCCACCTGTGATGACATTCAGGTCAGGATGATTCTCTCTGGACAGATCCACCAAGCTACTGGAGGCTTCAAACTCATCGTGAAGACGCTTCTTACGTTTGGCCGAGCCGCAGACCCGATACACGCCCACCATGTTGATACCACGAAGCTCGATTTCTTCAATACACTTCTGCACGATGATGGGAATGTTGGTGTGCGTGTTCTCTCTGCGCACCACCACTTCAAGGGGGACTCCGAACAACCCGCGTCGGTCTAACGACGGCACACGCTTGAGGGTCACGTGCCGCTCTGTGAAGGAAAACTTTGCATACATGATGCCGCGGGGTTCAAGCCGCACGGCCAATCGGAAGGGCTCATCCTTGGGCCGCGTGGAATGCATAAGCAGCTGGGTCAGTCGGACCACCGCTTTGTAACACAGCTTCTGTCGGTTGGTGTCCCAGTCGGTGTAGCTGTAGATCAGCAGGCCCAGATCGTGCGCCCGCTCCAGATCAATCTCAAACTTTTCGTCCCAACAGAACTCATCCCTGGCCGAGACCGTCGCGGTCTGCGCCTTGTGGACGGCGTCCACCTCCATCACACAGTACAGGTCGCGGTTTTCTTTCCGCGAAGACAAAGAGGGCAGCATTTTCCTGCTGCCGTACAGGTGAAGAGTCAGGATTCCAGACAGGGGCATCTGTCTGTTGCGCAGGCGCGAGCCAAGGTCACTCTTGTACTTAGTAAACTGCGTCACGTCAATGTCTAGAGGTTTGCTTGCGGATATCCGTCGAGTTTTCTTATCCGGCGAGGGTTTGGGCACGTAACGCGAGCCGCCTTCGGCCGTTGACTCTGCAGAGCTCTTGTCCGTTGTCTTCTTGCCCATGAGACTGGACTTGGAGGACTTCTCTGATTGGCCTGGTTTGCGTTGCCGGCCTTTGCCTTCCCCCGAGCGCCTCATGGCATTGGGCAAGAACTCAAGAATGGCCGATCGCGGCCGCACTGTTCTGGAATCTCCTGCAGGATGGAAAGAGACAAATGATAATAAAAATCTATGAAGTAAACACATTTCGAACGACAACTCCTCAATGAAAACACCACAACCCTTCTCTTAAATGTCTGGACATCATCGGTCACATGGATATGCTGTTTATTAAAAATGGAACTGGACATAATCTGACGCTAGATGGCACTATTCATGATGACACACTTGCTGACAATAACTGATTTTGCCAAAAAAATAACTAACATCGTTGTCAGATCCTCTTTTGGCAATGCATATGAGGTGAAATATGGCATTTTAACACCTGCTGGGACCCACAGCACTCTTACATGTAGCTTCACCCCAGGTTTGCCACGTATCCATCAGGTGTAAAAAAAAAAATCCATGTATCACATCGCAACGGTCAACTGTTAAATAATACTCAAGTAGGATACATTTTGTACATGTGATTGTTTTCTGAACAGTGTCAAAATATAGACCTATAGAATGCAATGTTTGAATTTAATTTTTGGGAAAAAAAGGACTTTCCTTTAAATCAAAAATAGAAGTAATTCAAAACAATATGTGAGATACATGTAGGCCTAATGTTTGATCCACAGTGTACAATTGAAGACTACCGGTATTTCCCAATTGCTAGACGTTTACACAATTTTTTTTCATAAGTGAGAAAGTTGCACTGCCGTACACGAAATAACAAAATCCAGAAGATTGTACACAATCTAAACACACTCTTTTTGTTTTATCTTACATGTATACCAGTATTTCAGTTCATTTCATTCCAAATTGTATGCTGCAGGACTTTGGCCAATCGCAAGCATTTTTACAGTGTTTTACAAATAAACTCTTCAAACAAAAAATGAGTACATTAATGTATGATTCAGATTTCAACTTGGTGTATGTATATGGTATCGTAGGTGGGGACAGGCAATTGGGCAGTACGCTGAACACTGTGGCCCATGCTTTGCTGGGTTGCATCAGCCTCAGTGACAGTTATTATCAAATCCCAGGGCTATGAAGTGGGTGTGATATCAACCTGTGGTTAACCACGACCTAATCCCTCCATTGAAAGGTGCCAGACAATTAGTAAACTCAGTGAAATCTGTGTAACCAGATCATCAGAGTGTATGAAACCTCAAATGGCAAACTGTTACATGTTGTACAGGCCTAGAGTTCAGGAATACAATAATTGGGCAGATTGCAGAACTCAGCAGCAGTTTCTTTGAATGATTTAGTAATAGAACATGCATTTTATACGTACCGTAGTACATGTAGTAATTCCCTTCCCTTTTAAATGAAAATAAATACGGGACTTGGGTAGTGAAGTCTCCCCACCATTTGTAATTTAATAGTTGGGCAATTCTTTGGTAACGGAATTACGGACTTTTGTCACTTTGTCAAGGATTATTCTTTCCCAAGAAAATATGTTCAATGCTAGGCAACTAATCTAAACATGGAAAGGGAGCCAAGACCCAGTAGAATTGATTGACCGCTAAAAAAACAAAAATCCCACAAGATTACCCTTTTAGGGGCGGAGCTTAATATCGGTAACGGAATTACGGACGGAGGACAAGCATATTTGAGTTCTCGCATAAATTAATAAAACTCTCTGAAGTTTTGAAATTTTAAAATTGGACACTACCTGTTATTTGTAGAGTTCAGGGGTGTTGTTAACTACGATGCAGAACAAAGTTGAAAAAATAATCACTCTTTTCATAATTTGCATTTTAATCACGGTAACGGAATTACGTCTGGGCGGTAACGGAATTACGCCATAGGTTTACATGTAATAGGTAAATGCAATACATTAACATTGAATTCAACATAAACTATCACAATACAAATTTTAGAAGTATATAAAATGCCACAAGGGGAAAGCTCAGTGAAAATAAGCAGATCAAAATGTAAATGTAGGCCTAAACATGTCTGGGCTTCATTTTTTAGGTCAAAGGTCAAGGTCAAATGAAAGCAGTCTGGTGATGGCTGCATTGCCTGTTAGCAATGTATATTTATTTTTTAACGAAAATCAAATTTTACTATGAACAATTGTATCGTATTTCACTAGTTTATCGTGGAAAATACAATAAAACTGTACTGGTTGGCATCTCTGAGCAAGGGAAGATGTTAAGTTATGCCAAGTAGAAGTACAAGTACAGTCTGGTACTCAACTTTCATATACTTGTTGTGGAATATATTTTCTCTGGGTACCCGACAACGGCTTTGGCAACATATTTAAAGGGAATGTACATCATTGGCTTTTGCTGTAATTTTCAGAAATGAACTATTTGAGGGGTTAGTATAATAGATCAAATATTGTTACACTGACATGTTTGAAGTTTTGCGTTCGAAAATGCTGGAAAACCAAGAAAAACAAAACTGTTCAAGTAGTCTGGTTCCTTGACTCCACTAAAGGTAAAATGGATCAATTTATAGATGCTGGAAAAGTGGAAGGTAAGGGAACCAGACTAGCTGGCCTGCACCCATTCATGAACATGTAACAAATAGGTGTAGCAAACAAAATTTGGACTGGAAAGAGTATAAAGTTGAAGCAGTAGTTGAAAAATAGTTAGGATTTTCCAACGGTGGTCGGCCGACCACCGTTGGAAATGTATACAAAAATATCATTTTTTTGAAAATTACTTCACACCAGGTGCCATAATTTTACAGGATGCTTTAGACTGTCATTTACCAACATCCTACAGTGTAGTAAGGTATTTCGTAAAAACTTGGTAGTTTTATTTTCTGATGTTTGCAAATGTTGAATATATTCCCTTTAAGCATCCAAACAACTATTAGCATTTTTTAAATAGTAAAAAAGAAAAAGTAAAAGTAAAACATATCAATGGAACACCTGATTATTTTTAATTGTATAATAGCAAATTAAAGAGGGAAATGATTTAACAAGTAATTTAGTATTTAAAGTTATTGTCCAAGGTTTACATGCAAATCTCCTATTTAATATGTCATGTACATAATCTGGGGGAAGTGTGCATACTTTGTTCATGCGTAATTCCGTTACCGTAATTCCGTTACCGTTTCGTAATTCCGTTACCACTTGGAAAAATGCCAAGAAATTACTATTTTAAAGTTTTTATTTTTCATTTATGTTTATAGTAGGGTCTTTTCTCAACATACATGATTTGTAGAAAAAAAACAAGAAAATTTGTGAAATAAGTAACTTTTGCCATTTTTTCGGTAACGGAATTACGTGCTAATTTTGGCATTTTTAAATGAAGGCCTACACTATATATATATATATATTTATATTTTTAGATTTTTTTTTAATGACCCTGAGTAATGTTAGTAACTTGTAACATCATAAAATAAATCAAATCTTTCCCCTATAATTCAGAAAGTAATACATACACAAAATTTTATTTTTTTACCAAATCTGAACGTTTTTAATCATAAATTGCAAAAATCACCGTTTTTACCAGAAAATTGTATTTTTTTTTAATTTCGTTTTTTGAACTGAATTCACCATTTAATTGAGGTCTGGAAAAAGTACGAAAAAGGTTTAATATGTCAATATTTATTTTTGACATTTTTTGCTCTCCCATGGAGAATTGCCCAGTTGTTTAAATATCCTGTAATTGGCGATTATCTTGCAGTTGGATTTTGTTAATAAATAAATAAATATACTGCCATGTAATACATGCACATATGTACATATCGGTACATGTATTACTACAAATTACATTAACAAATGTGTTGGATAAAGGTTCATGTCCTACGGTAATTTATGCCATACAAATTTTTAATGCCTATTTTTATAGAACCTACGGTAATAAATCAAATCTGTGCAATATTAAATTTACACCATGTGCACTATTAGGGCCTATATTTAAGTTTTAACAATGTGCACATTTATTAGAATTTATTCCTGAATTCTGGTAATGATCCCACACTATCACATTTCATGCTAATGTCCAAACACAGTGCATATCAAGAAACTAATTGAAGCAAATCGTAAATTTCCAAATCTGTCCATTTAATTTTTAAATATAGCACGTCCAGGCGCTGTGCATGTCCGCGGATTCTATAAATAGCCGGCATGTTTCAAGTCTCTCCAGTCTGGACCGTTAATTCACAGCGCAGTCTGCGTGCACGGCCCATGCAGCCGTGCGCTAGTGTCACTGCTAGCATTGTTATTATGCAGGCACAACCGCCCACGCACATCGGCGCCGCATATTGTATAAAATGTCCATGTACATGTACTCACACAGAGAATCTCATGACATGATGGGGAGAATGCTGGCGTACATGTAGACAGTGTAGGATGTACATGTTCGTGCACATGTATACGTACATGTGCACGTACATGTACATGTACCGTGTACCAGTATACTGAGAGAAAATTTTGGTTTGTACATTTAGTGTACATACATGTATACACATGTATACAACATGCATACATGTAGGTAACACATACCGTACTTGTATACACATATGAAAGTCCATTCATCATGTTCATGACATGAAGTTCTTTGTATACCATCAATTTATACGTGAATAATTACTTTTTATGGTACTATACCGGTACTTAATTCAACCAAATTATTTGGATGAGCTGGTATTAAAATATTGCAATTTTAATTTGAAGATCAAATTCGTAAAATGTCCCATACATTTATAGTCGCTTGTTTTTAAATCTTCATTTTCTAAATGATTTTCCTTGCAGGTCAATTAAGGTTTGTTGTGTACATTTTCCTTATAAATTTGAGTTAATTTTATGATATCCCAGAACCACATTTACTTCAACAGTGTTGGCATTTCAACATTTTTCCAACTACATGTAGGTGCAATATTATTTTTACAATTTTTTTTTGTCTTTTATCGGTGCATACCGTGCATTAATACATGTAGACTTTTTATAATTAACGTCATGATATTAAGAGAAAAAAAATTGTACACAAATGTATGGATGCAATCACATTCTGCTTAAATTTAACAAGCGTCTCAAATAATGGAATTTTGTGGGTTAAACAAAAGACCCTTTGTTCGACTGGTTACATTTCATATTGGTAATTTGCAAGGCACTATTAACTGCTCCAAAATACCAAGAATTTAACAAAAATCAAGTTTTCAAAATTTCAATCCTGTTGCTTTATACTAGCTAGTACAGCATTTTTATTTGTTTGATAGTAAAAAAGTAAAAAACTAAAGTAGTTTCTCGTCTGTTTTTTTTTTCTAAAAAGGAAGGAGGCAAGATCGTGGATTTTCCACTTGAGATGGATTCTTCTATTTTCTTGACCCTTTTGCTGATATTTTTACGTCCAAATAAGCCGTAATGCTTTCTTACAGATTCTTAACTTGCATTCTACAATTTTGCTTGAAGAACATCAAAATAAAAACCAAATATATTGCAAATGTTTGGGTAAAAACGGAGGTGGCTGGGGGAAAAAAGGGAAGCAGATGGAAACGAGAAATGTCTAAGTTAATTTCTTACTTAGCTTTAATTGTAAATTGTAATAGAACAAAATTATAATTGGATCAGAAATAAAAGGGAATTTTTCAAATTTTTAACAGTTCAGAAAAAAAAAATTCTTCAGATGATACAGAACATTTTTAAGTTGCACATTACTGGGCCAACAAATGTTACGTGTACACATGTAACGGTAACATTAAATCATTTTCTTTATGGCAACAATGACGTTAATCATTTACAAGTAAGCATAGGAAGTTATGCATGACTCATCTTCCCAAAAATCTTAAAAAAAAAAAAAAGAATAAAAAATTACCGTCACTCGTAAAACCCCGCACAACAGTCAAGTGCATTTATTTTTACCTACATGTACGCGCGCCTGCACTAGTAAATCTTTTGCAATAATAATACATGCCAGGTTATGTTTACATATCACTACCGTGTTTGTATGTGCAGATAACAAAGAATGCTATCTTTTATCTTCTTTTTTGCCTTCGAAGAATTATACAGTTGTAACATCAATGTAATTCTTGTATACATTTACAATGTACACAGCAGACGACTACATATACCGGTACATAGCACCCAGTTGTTGAGATGGGTAAAGGCAGACGAATCTAAAGTGCCAAATGAATTTCAAAAATTTCTGTTAACTTAATACAGGTCAAACATTTCAGAAATTCCTAAAAAATACTCTTGAAACTTTGGAACAGTTCTAAGACCTGAAAATAATTAAAACAAATAATACATTTCGCAATGAGGTAACGAGGTTATCAACAGAACAGGAAACCAGAAATCTTCTGTCAGGAATACCCGGTACCGGTACATACATGTACAACTTAAGTCGTGAATGCAGCCTTAGAATTTAGCTGAGAGAAACCATTTGGATATTATGAGTTGTATCTTTTGAGATATTTTGTACATAATACAATAGTCGTGTACATGCCATTTCGTTTGTAATGTCTTTATTATCAGCCAAATACCATATTGAAATGGTTATTTCCATTTAGTTTCATTTGGTTTATTTCCATCCTCCTGGGATGCAGATCCTCCTACTAGTTCCTTAGGACTACCCTACTAAATCCAGAGTCCAACCGGAGTTTCCTGTTCAATCCACTGTGCCTTATTTTTAGATGTCTGCTGCATCAAACAGAGTCCAGCATGGCGTTATAAATATAGGCCTAATGCTGTTCAGTTGCCTGCTGAATCCAACATTTTGCATCAGGAATGTACACAAGGGGTTTACTGCTCGATCCAACAGACTCCATCGGGTATAGTTGGATCCTGTTGGATTCAGCAGGGTTAGAGCAGAAGTTCATGGCTAAATTTTGATGACATTTTGCTGTCACTTTGTTACTGCAATGACTTAAATTCGAGCAAGTTCAGTTAAAATTCTGCTGTTAAAACGCAAATATGAGCCAGTTCGCCTGTTTGAGACCAATACTTGGATCGACTGGACTTGCTCTTAAAGCATAGGATCATTTGCATATTATCCCAAAAGTAGGGATCGATATTCGAATTATTATCAAAAAGCTTTGATTAATTAAAGATTGGATTAATTAAACATTGTACTAAACACCCTGTTAAATTGTTCTGTCTGGCTTGCTGTCATTTGAAGGTGATGCCAAAGAATAGTCAATTGACTGACTTCTGGTGAAACATCTATAGACAAAATTGTGTTTCGTGATCAAAATGTGTAATATCCACTGAGCTGAAACTTCAACAAGTTAGGTTTTGAACATTCCTTCTTTGAATTTTGAGTACAGTGTTAATATTGGAAATGAACAAAATGTGCACTGAAAGCAAGTGACCCTGTATGCCTTTAAAAAGTCAACCAGAGAGAAGTTTGCATACATCTATACACAAATTAATGCGGGAATGAACAAGAGCTAGTCTTGTTCCAAGAATGGATATTGTATTTTGTTCCCTTGATAATGCAGCCACTCCAAATCACTGGCAAGCCTGATCAAGCAGCCTTGGACAATTTCAATGAGAACAAGACTAGTTGTACATAGTGTATTAAAGGAATGTATTAAAGGAATGGTGTTATAAATATAATGCAGACTCTCTCAATTGAGCAAATATCTTTGAGGTGCTTTTGGCTACCTTTAATTCTGTAACAATGAATACACAACATCTCTTGATGTACAGTATCTCAGGAATTCCGCTTTTTTCTGCTTCTCGTTTTACTCCCATATCCCTGCCGAACAAAAGCACACCTCAAACATGGCTGCGAGGCAAAGGAGCTTTCCCCAATCGGTAATATACCACAGAGATTGCAACAAATGAGGGGTTTCTTTCTCAGTCTGTAAAGTCCGCTCAGCTTGGAGCAGTGGGAGAACAAATTTTCCCACTGACACTTCACAGTCATCTGACCTTGCCCACCTGGGGGTCACGTATGCCATAGTTACAGCGCTTACTGCTTACTGCGTCGCAACTGACAAGCATTCCATATCCAGAGAAATGCTGGTTTAAGCTCCCGCAAACTGTGAAAACCCCAAGGTTAACCTAACCATGGGGATTCCGTTTTTTCTGTTTCTCGTTTTACTCCCATATTAGACATGTTAGATGTGGTAAATTTCTCAACTTTGAACTACTTTCCTCATGTATACATTTGTAATGTCATTTAATTTTTGTTTTATTTGAGGGGTGTGTTTTCAATTTTGAAATGGTGACGGATGCTGAATGGAATGTTCGGTTTCTCTTTAGCAGATATTTGATTCAATGATTCTGTTTGAAAAAAAAATTGTCAGTTTTTTTTTTTAGAGACAAGCCAGAATTGTTTCCAGTTTGTGGGAACATTTGGGCCTGTCTCAGACTGGGACCTTGATTGCTAAAAAACATGCAAAACAAAATCAGGCCAACTTTACTCCTCTGTCATGTCTGTAGACTGAACATTTTTTCAAAATTTTCATGAGGCAAAGACAAGATCCTCAGTATTTCACCAGCCAAGTTTGAGGTCTCAATTCATTATTTAGCATGTTGAGAGGACACTTTTCTTCAACATTGCGAAGCCAAATGATTTCAATTTTTAGACTGGCATATTGTACATGTCCAACCTTTTGAAAAGATTGACCCTTCAGTAGTCTGGTGGTATGACTATCTTAGAGCATCGTATTGGGCCCTACTATACTAGGTACCACTACCAGATGTTTCTTTTGGCACAGTTGATTGATACAGACTTACTTAAGGGGTGTTGGACTGGTTGTTTCATGTGCCATTCTATTTTCTTGTATTGTATGTTTCAACATCTTAGGTTTTGTGACTATCATACACTAGTGTTGAGAGTCCCAAATTTTCGGAATAGTCACTCACTGGAGTAGTACTGTATAACAGAAGTTAATGGCTGGACAGTTTTAGCTTTCCCAAAGAATTTTCAAAAGTAATAGATCCAACAGAAGTTGCACATTATTCTTGGAATGTTGACTTTATCAGGGTATACGCTTCCCTTTTCAAAGGGAGAATTTAATAACAGATCAAAAGAAAGCATTCTTCCTTCCAAGCTTTCATGAAAAGTGACGAAAGGCAGATTTTTGATGAAAATAGATTTGTAAAATTTTACATCAACAATGATGTGAGTAAGTTGCCTAAGTTTTTAAGGTTCATTTTCAAAAATCTTGGTAGTAAAGCACATACTGTACATGTATATACATTTTGTAAACAGCCAGTTTCCAGAATATTGAGAATACATCCATACAATGTACGTGTATGGCTTGTATGCACATCTTGTAAAACTTGCAAACAAACCATTCAACGCCATTTCTGGCGAATTTTTAGTGCCTCATTTTGATGGGTTGGGTCAAAACTAGGTTAAGTATCCTAATTAATGAGTTGGGACGAAGTGACCCTATATTTTCTTTGTCATGTTTTCAGTGTCCATCTGTGCTAAGTTTCAAGACTTAAGTTGATATCAATTTTCTGGATCCGTTCATCATGGAATATTAAATACAATGTGATAACAATGTAGGACAAGTGCTATTGGGTTAAATTTGATGTACATGTGTGAGATAATGTGAGTTGTGACCTACATCCCCAGAATGCTGTACCAATTGTAGTACAAACCCTCCCAACTTGTGTACAACTAGGGGGCCTACATGTACTTACACGTAGTGCTAGTAAGTTCTTGTACTACACTGTAGACACACATTTTTACTTCAAAAACCCAAAATCTACAATGTTCTGATGTTTAGCAACATAAAACTTTGATAGGTTTTGAAGTGTTTTTCTACTTTGAGGGAAACACAGCCATTCTTGTGAATTGGACTTGTAACTTACCCGAACTGGAATGTTGTCTAGTGTTAACATGTCCTCTAGGTTTTGCAGAAGTAGTTAAAGCAGCAATGACATCATCTGAAGACGACGCCCGTCTCAGTTTTCCCGACCCCCGTTTCTCAGCGTCCTTCCTAATGTCGTCGACCTCTTTACTAAATCCCTTATGGTCAGTCTCGATGAAGGCCGAATAAGGCCTCTGCTTTTTGCGACCGGAGTAGGCAGGAACGCTGCTGCGCAAGCCGTGCACATTGGTAAAGGAATCCATTTCGGTGTCAGGAATCGCGCGGAGGTCATCGTAATCCTCATCGTCCACGAAGACCATGTTATCACTGTCTTCCTCCACAGGGAGGGTGCTGGGGTCGAACGACGCTGCACGGTGGAACGTCTCGGGTTTAGGGGTTTCCGACTCACGCTGGGCGTCGCTGGCACTCAGGTGCCTCAGTTTGAAGTCTCTCGTGACGGGAACTGGAAGAGGAAGGGCCGTGGCTCTGCCACTGGTGCCCCCAATTGCACTGCTGTTGCTGCTGCTACTTGTCGTACTACTACCAGCCATGTCCGGCTCCAGAGCTGATTGCACTTGTTGTTCGGACTCCTCACGTAGGTCCATATCAAGGTAGTAGGAGCCCTTGGCTCCGCGCAAGTCTAACGGCCTGTGTTGATTGGAACTTCGCATATTCGACCGGTGACTGTTTTCCTTGTCCTCAAAAGCGGACATGCAAGACTGGCTGCCGTCTGTGAACGACCCAGGGCTACGATCCGACGTTGAGCCCAAGGAGCTGTTTGTACCTACCGATATGGACCTCTGTTTGGAGCCCAAGCCTAGGGCTGCTGGCGAAAACCGACCCGGGCTAATGTTGTCCGATGTGAACGAACCCCAGCTCGACCGAAACACCCCCTTCCCAATCTGCCGCGATTTAAGAGTTATCAGTAACCGTATAGGGATCTGTAAAATCATGTACACTTCGTCGAGGGTTTTTCTCGAAATGTCAACATTATTTACATACAGAATTTCATCGCCTATTTGTATAAGTCCTGATTCCTCCACCAATCCACCCAGCATGAGGCGCGATACGTGAATACCGTCCCTTCTTTCCATCCCGTCCCCCTCGCGAATAAAGAACCCTAACGTTTGACCGGGTATCTTGTTGATTTCCACAGTGCGCAGCAGGTACGCCCCTCCCAGAATCTCTCTCTCCTGGGCGACATTTATCCGGAGCTTGCCGTTACTTGGCCGGCCGAAGACTGCAAATGTTGCATCTGTGTCTTCGAAAGCTTGCGCTCGAGAGAGGTCTGCAAAGAGTTCCCGTTCTGCAGCCTGGATGGTGGACACTGTTTCGCTGGTGATACCACTGACGTGCCGGAAGCGGGCCGGAGTGTCGATCTGCATGGCCCCACCGCCACCCCTACCACCGCCGCCGTGGCCCCCGCTAGTCGGCGAAGAAGGCTGGTCGCGATCCCCGGCCCAGTAATCAGCAGACTGGCTCCGGGACGACAGTTTCTTGGCGCCTCTCTCCACATTCTGACAGTCCGACAGGGTCCTGGAGCGTCTAGAACCCCTATCAGTCATTTTGGATTTCAGGACGACTCCGTTTGGACGAGAAGAACGGCATTTTGGGAGAAAACGGGATAGCGGCTAACGCCTTTCGTTGAAACACTGGGGTCCATATTTCTTGGCGCTATGCATAAAATGTACATAATAAATGGTCATAGACTGGGCTGGTCTCCGACTAATTCTAAACGATTTTATGCTGCGGTTTCATTTGCGACTGCAGGGTACCAGGCAATGCATCGCATTTATTCGACTGGCCCAAGTCTTCTCAATGAAAATTATATTGCAATAATAGACTTGATTCAAGTCTATCGATTCGAATTTTGAGAAGTGTGTGTCGGTTCATGTTTCTCATCTAGCGCCCTCTAGACATCAGCTTTTAGCTTGCATACTTGACAGATATACAGAATAAACTTTCATTTCATAATTTATTCATCCGACTCTTTGAGCGCAAGTGTAATTTGGTACTTTTTACGCAATTTATTTATTTATTTATGTTCTATTTTTTTTTTAATAGTCAATTATGACACACTTTGATTGCAAATTAGGATAATGAGTTTCATGATTTTGTTCTGATGGTGAAAATACCCCTGGGCATGCCGTGTGTAATATGCATGGCATTGATATTTTGCAAACCACTGCGATTTTGAGAGACTTTGAGTCAATTACTCATGCGTTCCCGGCTCCGCAACAGGCTTATAAATAATGGAAAAGAAGTTAGCCACAGGTTAATCTTCCTAAAAAAAAAATCACCACGAATCGTTATTCGCTTAAAGTTTCTGACAGAAAATAATCTCTAGAAACTTATCGGAAACCGCTAGTGTCTGTATTTTTTCAGCTTTGAATTTTGTAATCAGCAAAAAATATTGCATGTGTAAATGGTTCATTCAGACACGTTCGCTCGTCCCCCCCCCCCCCGCCCTCCAACCAGGGCGCCGGTTAGTCAATTTTAATTAAACAAATATAAGAAACTCTTTGTGCAGACGATAACTTCGGAATAACAAATTGCATTGTTATGAAATTGGGCCAAAAATAGTTAGTCGTGATATAATGGCATAAACAATTCAAATTGACGATATCTCTGATGAATCTTGTGCTGACCAAGCATTCAGGGGTCGGATGGGCCATCACAATGAGGCCATGCCAACCCCTTACCCTCTACTTGGATCTCGGCGGTCCCGGCCTACACACTTCCTTCCTGTCCATCCATATTACCCGAGGGCCAGGTACCGAAGGGAGGAACAATTAAGGCGGCACCCTAAGCTCTGTCCCCCGAGTGGGTCTAAATCCTACGAAGATGCACAACCTGGACTTCGCGGACAGTACCAGTGCCAACTACCAGCGGCAGCGCTTAGGACGACGGTAACCAATTAAAATTACACATGCGGGAATCGAAACACCGATTCTCGACCCGTTGGTCAGCAATTTAACCACTATGTAGGCTATTTCACTAGTTACATATATACGTTCGAGTTCAAAACCTAAGAACCATTCATTGTATTCTTAAGATCGGGGTTTTCAGTTGTTGACGGGTTATTTTGTCCTTCCCGTTGTTGGGAGACGGTGCAGCGCACCGAGTTGCGCTTTGCGTAACGTATTTTGTTTATGTGTTTTATTAACGCCCCGTTCCTCTTCTTCGCTCTCTCGATTTCGTTTGCATTAAGAACCCCCCCCCCCCCCCCCCCCCCCCCCCCCCGCCAATGCGGGCATCAGTCACTGTGTAATTCAAATCTTAGCTTAACCAGCTTCAGGTGCAACAGGCTCGGATGAAATGTTTCGTAGGCCCGACTACTGCGCCCTCGGCACCGGTGTGGACGGTAATTCTGTCCACAAATCTTACAGCATGTACATTGTACTTGCGGCGATGCGCGCTCACGAACACGACTCGTATCATCGCATGGGTGATACTTGCACGGGGACACATTACCGGGGGGCACTTTCAACGTTTGGCAGGGGGACATATTTACCAGGGAGGGGGACAGATCTACCTATGTAAATGTGTCCCCCAGACAGATTTACCGGGTCACGACCCGGTAAATTTGTCCGGGGGACACATTTACCAGGGGGGAGAGAATTACCTGCCACACCGGCACCAAGAAAAACGCGCCTGCTTTATATTTAAGATTTGTTCAATAGAGGGCGCGCCACATAATTAGTGGTCTCCACAAAGCAACAACACGGACGCAGCACTATTGAACAAAATGAACATACTCGTTTCCGATGAACTACTCAAGAAATAGCAGACGTATTTAATTGATATTTCGAGCACTGATTTTCCACCATGTGTAACATAAGTGTATTGAATATTACGAGAAACCGATGACCAATAAAAATAATATAATCGTAACAATGTAGTGTTTTACACGCGAAAAATCCACGTTGACTCTCATTCGGATTGAGTAAAACACTGTATCGTTATGGTCATAATAGCTTGCAAAATAGGACACAATCAGATGATTCTGGAAAATTGCAGATTGTTAGGGCGTAACCTTGTATTTCTAGCAAAATTGGGCAAAAAGAAATGTTTATGAAAAATTTTAAATTGTATACCTTGTATATTTAGTAAAATTTGGCAAAATCAGATTTGTATGAAAAATCTAAGATGGTAAGGGGTTAACCTTGCTTTTTTAGTAAAATTTGGAGCATATTTTACTAAAATTGGGCAAAATCAGATGCTTCTAAAAAATCCAGATGTAAAGTTTCCGCAAAAACAGCTGTTGAAATAGAGCCCAATGTTGAACTTTACTGAGTCTGAGGTCTATCGAGGGGACGATCCTTATTTCAACTCCCGGAGATTCGCTGACAGTCTCTATTTTTCTTTTTAAGAAAGTCGAAATAGCTGAAGAGGGAGGTGAGAATCAATATGTGCCCAGATACAAAGAGTAGAAACCTACGCGTCTGCCTTTTGAAAATACACAATTGCGGCGTTCATCATGTTGCGTAATGATCCGCCTAGCACACGACTGGGCTCATTATATCGACTTGTTTTTACCCATTAAGGTAAAGCAAATGGCCCCAGTAATCTTCCTGGCGCGTTTGCTCACCTATAAAGACAACTTTTCTCAGTTTAAGGACAATTCTAAGGTAACGAAATGGCCGAGTGGTTACGATTCGTCGTCCATGGTAAGCAGGGTCCCGCGTTCGAATCCCGCTGGTGTCTTTTTGGTTTTTAACGTATGAGTTCAATTATTCACTATAAGAGATTTAATTTCCCGTCGTAAAGTACCAACAGTACCTTAGCTTAATCGGTAAGCACTGCTGCTGGTACTGTCCGCGAGTTCCAGGTTGGCGCCTTCGTACAGGTTCAGGGCATGTGGTCCACTCGGAGGATCAGGGCTTAGGGGCCGCCCTGTTCCTCCCTTAGCTCTTTGCTTTTACATGGTGCCTGGCCCTCCGGGGTTATATGGATGGATAGGGAAGGAAGTGTGTATTGGTCGGGGACGCCGAGACCCCGGAAGAGAACTAAGGGATCGGCTGGGGCATTGTTATGGCTCAGACCGATCCCTGAAAGCTTGACTAGCACATAACTTTTTGATGTTTTTTACCCTCTATCTTTTATACTTTGGTTTAGTTTGATATCTACAGCTACTCGGCGGGTCTACGGGTAGTATCAAAATTGAAACAAAGGTGTATGTCATAAATCAATGAATACTTTATAATTGACTATAATCAAAAGGGAGTTTCGTTCGATCAATTTGACTATCATTATATAATGACGCGATTGCCAATTGACGTAAGAAACGCCATCAATTATACCTGGAAAGAATAAAGACGTACATTGTAATATAAATATTAGTTATACATCTTTCAAATAAAGTGTCTTTAATTGTGAACATTCCAAACAATACAGTTATTCGCAATGGTATTAGAATGGTAAATGATAGCACGATCAATGCGTCTCTATTAAATTTAAAAATTATATAATTTAGGCCCCTATGTGTGAAATATTCTGTTGATGAAACATTTCAAATAGTAAGTGGTGAACCTTGCATTTTTTAGCGAAATAGGGCAAAATCAGATCTTTCTGGAAAATTTCAGATTGTAAGGGGTTAACCTTGCTTTTGTAGTAAAAATTGCCAAAATAAGATGTGTATGAAAAATTTCAAATTGTAAGGGGTTAACCTTTCTTTTTTTAGTTAAATTGGGAACATTTTAATATTTCTGAAAAATTTCAAATTGTCAGTGGTTAACCTTGCATTTTTAAATATGGCAAAATCAGGTGTTTAGGGAAAATTTCAGATTGTAAGGGCTTAACTTTGCATTTTTAGCAAAATTGGGCAAATTTAAATGTTTATGAAAAATCTCAAATTGTAAGGGGTGAACCTTGCACTTTTTAGCAAAACAGCGCAAAATCAGGTGTTTCTGAAAAATGTTAGATTGTAATGTGTTAACCTTGCATTTTTAGTAAAATTGGGCAAATTTAAATGTTTATGAAAAATCTCAAATTGTAAGGGGTGAACCTTGTATTTTTAGCGAAATTGGGCAAAATCAGATCTTTCTTGACAATTTCAGATTGTAAGGGGTTAACCTTGCTTTTTGTAGTAAAATTGGGCAAATTTAAATGTTGATGAAAAATATCAAATTGTAAGGGGTGAACCTTGCACTTTTTAGCAAAATAGGGCAAAATCAGGTGTTTATGAAAAATGTTAGATTGATATGTGTTAACCTTGCATTTTTAGTAAAATTGGGCAAATTTAAATGTTTTTTATGAAAAATCTCAAATTATAAGGGGTGAACCTTGTATTTTTAGCGAAATTGGGCAAAATCAGATCTTTCTTGACAATTTCAGATTGTAAGGGGTTAACCTTGCTTTTTTGTAGTAAGATTGGGCAAATTTAAATGTTGATGAAAAATATCAAATTGTAAGGGGTGAACCTTGTATTTTTAGCGAAATTGGGCAAAATCAGATCTTTCTGGACAATTTCAGATTGTAAGGGGTTAACCTTGCTTTTTTAGTGATATTTGGCAAAATAAGATGGGAATGAGAAATTTCAAATTGTAAGGGGTGAACCTTGCACTTTTTAGCAAAATAGGGCAAAATCAGGTGTTTAATGTTAGATTGTAATGGGTTAACCTTGCAAAATAGGGAAAAATCAAATATTGTATGAGGTTAACCTTTGCCCAATTAGGGCAAAATCAGATGTTTCTGGAAAATTGCAGATTGAAAGGGGTTAACCTTGCATTTTTAGCAAAACTGGGCAATATCAGATTTTTATG